TATTATTATTGTTTATTGATTTAAATTTAAATTTCTTACAATGGGGACAAATTAATAATAATATAAAAACACACAAATCATAGTAAAATTAACGAAGAAATTCCAAAGATTTAGAGAAAAAGGAGAAGAGCTTAAATAAGGTAATTTTTGACATAACCTCATTCTTCAAATAATCACATCTAAACTCCTCCCCTAATACAGAACATTTTAGTTGGTATGTCACTTGACAGGATTCAAACAAATGAGTCAGAAGATCTTCTTTTTCTTTTACACCACAGAATTCACAACACCCTTCACTGGATATATTTATCCGGAAACCTTTGAACAAAATTCGAAATCTGTTTAGTCTGAGTTGTATAATAAGGCTTTTTGTAGAAAAATTAGTCTCACAATTCAAGTAACTTGCTGTACACCAGACCAAGCGTGATTCAAACAGATTAACTCGTTTAGCTGATATAGAAGACATATCCCAGTTCCACAACTGATCTGACTTAGTTTGAATTAGTGCATTTAAATGGGTTCTCAACAAAGAAGCTGAATAAGATAAAAATAAAAAAGAGTAACCCAAGCCATCAAAAATATTTTTAACTGAAGCTGGCCAACTTTTCTTACCATGTTTAAGTGCTGTTAACAAAACATTATATGTTATTCGATGCAAATCACATGAGGGTAACTCCATGATTTTTGACCAGAACAAAACAATAACCTTAACAAATTTCAGTTCCAATGGTGGTCTTCCCAACTCAAGACGAACTGCAGATTATCTATTTATTTACAATTAGTTAAGCTGCAATCCTTTGTTATAGTTGTAATATATCTCTAGCCATATAGCTTAATTATTTATTAATTAATTAGCCGAATGAAGTCTGATAAGAATCTGACTGTTTGTTTGATTAGTAGAGTTTATCAGATTGTTTATATATGTTGTTACACATGTTTCATTAAAAATAAGATTATAAATATTTTTGTTTCATGGAATGAAGATTTTTTAATCAAGATGATATTAAATGTAATTATTTTTTTATAATTCTGATTACATTATTATATACTGTAGGTTGTCAAAAAATTATTAATGTTTAAGTAGAAGCAGATTTCCAAAAAAAAATGAAATAGTAAATTCAAAATGGACATAGGATATATTACCAGAAAAATCTGAATCTCAAAAAATCAAATACTCTTTGAGACATCAAAATTCAATCCTTGACACTTGAAAGACTGATACTATTGGATGATTAACTTAAGTGTGCCACGTACTCGTTTTTATTTAATTATTATTATTATTAATAATTTACTTTGCATTATATTAAATAACAGCATTTTCATTTTGTTTTATCATTAATTATTCTATGCAAATTATCTCATTCTCAATAGAAAGCTGGAAGATAAAAGATTAGGGCTATAACATTGCTTAATTGTAGGACATTGAGACCTAACTAAGTTTCTCATTATCTCACTAGTTTTTGATACTGCTCAATGCAGTAGACAGGCACTGCTCTGTGATAGTTTTATGTTTATTTTTAACTGTGTGCAATGTTAATGTCTGATGGCCAAACTTGGAAAAATTCCTGAATATTTTAAATTTAAATCAATCATTCTACAATTCTATTTTGATTTTATTTGCAATATTAATACCTGACAGCTGAATCTAAAGAAAACTCGAGAACATTTTGAATTAGTTTATTCATTAAATTGTTGTATTTTAGTTCAAACATTGTTCTCAATGAAACTTTGATCTGGAGATAGACATTATTGGTCTCACAAAGCATTTAATCTCTACTAAAGACAAACTTCTTAAAACAAATAGTGTAAGGAAACATTTATGGATCCATTCATAAGTAAGAATTAAGTAATAATTTAATTATTCCTTATTAAATTTTTAAAATATTATTTATAGTTACGTAATTAACAGATATATTACTAACAATTTATAATTTTTAAAACAATATAACACAGATATAAGAGGTCATGAAGTAATGTGAAATGTTGAGGTTGGACCACCAAAGGCAGACAGAGACAGAACACTTGGTGTATAAAAATATAAATACTATTTATTAATATAGACTGATCATATGTAATCCATGTGAAATAATTATATGAACTAATTTTAATTTTAAAATCTTATTTTTTATATACAGGTGAAAGAGAGAGAATAATCAAAAATTCAGTGAAACAATAAATGTTTTAATCAAAAACAAATGTTTTCAATCATTTTTAGCAAAAAACAACAAAAATATTTTTAGCAGACTTACAGTAATTTGCTTGAAAATGTTTGTTTTTGATTAAAACATTTATTGTTTTGCTAGAATTTTGGTTATTCTGTCTTTTAATACTTATATCAAGTTTATTGGACTGTTACAATATCTTCCAATCTGATTACCGGTGTTATGAACACTCTCATACACACTCTTTGAACCTTTCTCTCCGGTATTGAGGGATCTCCTATTAGCCAAATGCAGAATGCCAACACATTGCAAACAGGTCTTAGAGCTGGCACATCTCATGTGTTACAACTCCGTATTCCAGTTTGACAACAGGATCTACCTACAAAAGCATGGGTAGCCTGCTGTCTGGCAGCTTATGTGAGTTAGTATTACATAGACTAGAACAAAGATTCATTTCTGAGTATAGGTCCAATATAATTATATAAAAGAGATATGTAGATGATGTATTTATCCTATGGAAAACAGAACCAAACATCAACGATTTTTTAAGTCACATGAATGACAATCCATACGGACTGACCCTTAAACTCGACCAATTAATCACCACCAATACCCACTTCATAGACATCAACATCCTGCTCAACGGGGGAGTGGTCAATACTGGTATATATTACAAACCAGGCTATGTCCCATGGTTTATACCAGCAAACTCAGCCAACCCTTACATTTATAAAATCACAGCAGTATTGCATCCAAAACTGGCACCAAATTAAAATACCAAAGGTCCCCACTATATATATAAGTTATTGCACAATGCGAAAGACAAACAGGATGATCTTGGGGCTCCGGGAGTATAGAGTATTCTGGTAAGAGATGACAGGTTTAGGCAAGAAATGGTGTACATCAGTTCCACTAAACGTTCTATCCAATAGAGAGTCAGGAAGCACAAATACCATGCTCATTACACCACTGCCCTATCCAACACCAAACTGATAAAAAGAGTCTTTTGCACTGACCACATCAGGGCCCTCAAAGCCCTTGAAATTTACAGGGCTGGCCGGACAGGAAGATGTATAAACTCTAAAGATGGCAACATGCTTTCATATGCCTGGCTACATATGCAAAGAGCAAGAAATCATCAAAAATCCATAACACACACATATGTTCAAATTTATTTAAAACACAACGTTTGAAATTGTTTCAAGAATTGTTCTAAGATTGGAATCCAGTTTTCATTTAACCTGAAGCAGACCTCGAGTGATGCTGAAAATGTTTGTTTTCCGAAATTTAAGCAGTACTGCAGAGAAAGGTTCAAAGAGTGTGTATGATGGTATTGGACTGTTTTTTGGTATAAAGATGAGAGAGAGCTTTTATTTTATCACAATTATCAAAAATTATTTTGGTCATATTAAGTTTAACATTTAAAACTCTACAACTCTAATGTTCATTTTAAAAAATGAATGTAGACTAGGATTACCATAATAATTCAAGGCAAAATAAGGACAGATTAGCATTAAAAGTACTCAGATAGAGAGGCAAAACAAAAGATATTTATTCATATTTTTCAATGTAGTAAATGTAGGCGTATATAATCTAAAGGGTAAAGTTTACAATTAATAGAGAAGTTGCAGCTGATGTTTTTATTGCGAAAACATGTACATCGGATGTTCAGCGCAGTCTTCCTGTAAGCCTAGAAGTTTGACAATGGCGTTTGGAATGTCAAGCATGATTCCACTGACGTCCAAACACCATTGTCAAACATCTAGGCTTACAGGAAGGCTGCACTAAATGTCCGACATACACATTTTCATGATGAAAATGTCAGCCGCAACCTCTTTAATATAGATAACAAGTTCTATAGAATTAAAGAACCATTATAATAAATGTTTGTGCGCATGTGTTCTAAGCCAGCGGTCATCAACCTTTTTGACCTCATGAACTATTAAACTCACAATTTCAAATTCTGCAGACCACTATCAAATTGTTTTAAACAATATAAACATCTACAGATTAATAATCATAAAAGCTCCATTTTACTTTATTAATATGAAATTCACTTGTTTAATTATAACAAATTAATGTAACATTTGTTGCTACTTGTTAAAATTAGTTTATGGATTTTTGGCTCTTTTTCATGAAGGACGACAATTGCACTCACAACATTATTTATTGATAAAGTAACAATATGGACATATTGTTTACAATATGTACTAAGTACGATATGGACAGAGCCTGTAAAGTACAGATTGTCTGTACTAAATATGGATGTATGGTAACCCTAATGTAGACTATTTAAATAGCATCTTCATTTATCTTTTTTCCCATCAGGAATTATTGTGAATGCTAATCCTGAAGTAAAAATGGACAATGAAGCTGCTATTTGGTTAATCTGTTTTTAATCAATATTTATTTGAATTTGTTATTTATTCATATTAAAATAGTATATTCACAAACAAAATTTTATGAATAAATTATCTTTTTTGAGAATTTTAAGAATTCCCTGAATGTATGGCCAATGTTTACCAAATAATACTAATAGATATAATATAGTGAGAAATAATAGAAAAATCTATGATACAACAATTTTTACTTACATTTTTATTTATTTGTTTTAAAAAATTGCTCTCAGCTGTATTGTATCAAAATCAATTCACATTTATAATACTTTATGCAATTTTGCATCTGGACATGTGTTAGAAAAGATTTTATGATTTGTGCTTTCTAAAGAGCAATTTTATTCATTCTGTAGAAATGTTATAGAACTTACCAAGTATTATACAGATTCTGTAATTTCAAGAACTATCAAAACTTAATATCCAAAGTGAGCAAGTATTTATTGTGACATCACAATGCCAGGCTACCGGTTTTAATCATATTTTTAATAATTTTTTAATTTAAAATATGTGCTCTCCACATTAAATTGGTAGTGGCTTACCTCTGTACATCATAATTTTCTTTTAACAATAGAGTCATCTATCTAACACCATTAGGAGGAAAATTTTTTAATTGAAATAACATGACTTTTGGTTTGCATCAGAAGTTCATATATAGTTAATTGGGGCTTCCTGCCCCTAAGGTTTCCATATCTAGTCTTGTTTTTCATCTCTCTAACTCCATTCTCGAGATTAAGGAATGATGGACGACAGTGGAAATTTATAGATCTACAATTTTTTCAAATTGCAACCCCAATAACTGTAAACTCTAAAGTAGCAGAGTGTAAAGACCTCAACTGAGCATTGTTCTGCCAGATTAAAAATTATTTTAATATTAATTGAAAGCATTATGAGTATGTTTGAATAATAATGATTGAAGTAAAAAACAGGTGAAAGAAAGTGCATATATTTTTATTTGATGTGGATTTTAGTCCATTCAATGGATATTTCCCAATACAGTATTACTATAAGAATGTCTTTCTTACATCTGTCATCTGCTTTATTTCATCCATACTTATCTTATTCCCAATATAGTTTATATACAAAACAATTAATTTTAATTTTTTACATGTTTTCTGGACAAATACTCATTTTTCTTTTTCTCAATTTGTGTTCAAATTATATCTATATTTTTTTATTATTGTGAAATGCTTTACTATCATTTTTATTAAGTCTTGCTGAAAGGTCAATTGTAAATCATTATTGAAATTATCTTCAAAAAAATAATAATAAAATAATGATAATATCAAATCTGAAATAAAGAAGGTGTTAACCTTGGAGTAAATTTATGGATTTAGAATAACCATATAAAGTTCTTTTAAAATTTTTATATTTTTCCTTTTTATACCATTTAATATAGTTTGTTGTGTAATTTATATTAATGAAATTTTCATTTAAATATTTTACAAAATGGTTTCTTTCTCTATAGTCATTTAACTAATTCATCAGTTAAATATATTGATGAAATCATTGCTTCATTAAAACTAATTCAGAAATATCTGGAACTTTGAATGCTAACTAAAACTAAATTGAAGATATCCAGCAAATTTACATAATAATTTAAGGAAAATTGTGTAAGATATTAACACCAAAAAATGTCAGTGAAATGGATGTATGGTAAGGTGTTAGTCTACTGCTAAGGAGGATCTAGATTGGGAGAAATTGGTCTAGACTTACTACTTTTGTGTGGATTTTATAGTTCAGGGCATTCCCTCTTCATGCTGTTCAGACCCATTCATAATGAGCATAATTGCGACCGACTGTACAACGTATAATGTGCCTGGTGCATTATATTAATACTAAAGAGACGATAATTTGAGTGTTATCGATGATAGTAACTATTTTATTTTATTCAACAAAAATAGTGAGATCAATTCCAAATAAAAAATTTATATTATCGCTTTGACATTTGATCTTAAAGTCCAATAACAAATCTGGAACAGATAATTTATAAATTCAAAACCATTCGTGCTTTCCATCAAATGGGTTTAATCATTAATCAAACAGACGTTTTCGGTTTAATTTATAAATCTGCCTTGGGTATCAAACTATAAAATTCTGAAATTCCAAATTGAAATACCATTCAATTATATTGAAACAATGGTACAGTACACACATAAATCTGATCTTAAAGTCCAATAACAAATCTGGAACAGATAATTTATAAATTCAAAACCAGTCGTTCTTTCTATCAAATGGGTTTAATCATTAATCAAACAGACGTTTTCTGTTTAATTTATAAATCTGCGTTGGGTTTCGAACTGCAAAATTCTGAAATTCCAAATTGAAATCCCATTCAATTATATTGAAACAATGGTACACACGTAAATCTGATGAATGAAAAATTTTGTATGTTAAAATTTTTTATTGATCATTTTGAGAATTTATTTATTTATTAGTTTAATTCAATAAGTGAAGAACAAAACAGAAAACATGTGAAAAAATTCCAGGAAAGAAAGAAAATATAAAGGATTTCATTAAAAAAAGAAGGAAATTTACTTATTTTTCATAATTTTATGATATATTTTAATGCATTTGTTATTTCTAAATACAGCATAAATATGATAACACAATATCTTAAAAGCAAATTGTCCTTCTGTCTCACTTGAATAGATTGCCCAATTTTATTTTTATTTATCAATTCTAAATGAAAAATAATTAACAGAGCTTGTATTTATATGTACATTGTTTATTTTCCTCTATGTTTAGAACATTAAAAATGTTGTTTATCCCATTATTAAATCAAACTCTTAAAAAGCAAAATCATTTTCTCTTTATTATAATTTTATCTATTACAATATATAAAATATTTTAAGAATTTAAAAATAAAAATTAATTTAATATTGAAATAACATATACTAAATTTTTGTTATATATTATCAAAAAAGTTTTTCAAATTCCTTTTTTTCCTGTGGGAATTTTTATAAAGTTTATTTTCTATCATCCACATTATTTGTGCCCATTATCAATCAATTGGGAAAATAATAATAATAATAATACTGTAATTACTTTTATGTGAATGAGAGTATTTTAGAAAAATCAAATTGTTAGAGAAGCCCTGTTTATGGTAGAGCAGAAACAAAATTATAAAAGAAAATAACTAATGAGATGGCAGAATATTAAAAAAATTACACCCGATATTTTAATTCTGTTTTAAAATAATATAAAATTAACAATATATATACTAATAATAAACATTTCTGTTGACACAGTTGTTTTGGACATTATTTATGAAGAGATTTTCTTTGAAATATGAAAGAAATAGAAGTCTAATTAATTACTTCAATATGTTGATTTATTTTTCTGGAAAATTATGAATATTTTTATTGAAGATACCAAATAAATAGCAATAGAGGTGAGTTGGTATATCTAATTTGCATAACAATAAAGATTAAACAATTGAGTTGGAAGCATTATAATCAAATATGAATGTGGTAGCACATAATGAAAACTTTCTTCTGATAATGTACTGTATTAGTTAACTAGATAAAATTTTAATTAACAATTATTTCAATTTGAATAACTTTTTTTTTTATTAGTTAATTGAATATGTACATACAATTACTTACAAATTACTGTCCAGCTATAAAATTTAAAAAATGTGAGGAGAAGGAATCACTTAAATTTTCAGACGTCCAATTTTCTAAAATGTCAGACAGGTCGTTTTCAATTTTATTTAATTCCGAATATAAATTGTTAGCATCTATACTATCTTGCAACGCTAATTGTGACTTTTCATATTGCTGTAGTTGAGGAATTTCCAAGTAATTTTGATCCTGAGATGGAGGCGAAATGATTCTAGCGTTGGGATTTCTATCCAAATGTTCGAATAATTCGGAAAGTGGTCCCAAACCCAGATCCGGATTCATTATACCCGAACAAGGCCAATCACAACGACTGTGATTTTTTTCAATTTTTTTACATTTTATCGAAGTTTCTGCATTTTCTCCGTGTCGAGCCACGGCCAAGAGATCCGCGTAATATAAATCTCTCCCGGATATTGTGTTGGAGAATTTATTTTCGTAAACGTCACAGTGATCTTCGTTATCCGTTTTGCTATGGAAATGCATAAAAATATCTTTCGAAATCTTGTAAGCGAAAGACAGAAGCTTGTGTGACGTGGAAATGCTCTCTTGTTCTTCGCAGCTGAACTCCTCTTCATCCGTATCAATGAAGTCCTCTTCTGAAGACCCTAATGATTCTTCTTCCATCGATGGGGTATATCGAATCGAAGGACAATCTTCCATAATTTTGTATCGATTTCTGAAATGTAATGTAATTTTGAAAGAAAGAAATTTAAGTCGGGATCATAAAATTTCGAGTTACTTACATTTTGATATTTGAATACCCTTTCAGATAAAATGCTAAGCGATGGCGCAACTTGCGTGAATTTTGTCACTATCTAGAAATACATTCTGACCTTTACACTCCTCTCTGTTCTCGTACAGAATCTCAATTTGTTTACCTAGTCGTTCACGTGAATGAATAAACCCAATCATATCTTAAGAAGTAGTCGGTCGGTGGTTAATAAAGATAAGGAAGAACTCACCGTATATAGTCTAATGACATCAAATATAACACTTTCGTTTTATCTCGTGTTGATTTTAGATAATTCCTGTCGACTTTGTTTTTTACTTTAATTTGAAATAGTTTTGAAAGTAATAAAAAAACATTAATGTTTGATAAAACGTTAAGTTCTAATTCTATATTATAATGAAAATTTTCCAATGGAAATTGCTTATATTTTCTTAATAATTACTAAACTGTTAATTAACCGAGTTAATTTTTTCGGCAATTACAATTTAGGCCAAAATTTTAATCATAGGACTGAATTACAGTTAAAAATTCCCGCGATCTTTAAAGAACCGCGTGAATACCCAAAGGAATTCCCCCTTTTTTTCGTGCTTACTAGTGTGGAAGAGCATAATATACACTTGTGCTCATGATTTTTGGCCTCTCGATTTGTCAATTGAAGCTGTGAGCATTATTCCGTGCGCTTTTATTGATAGAGAATTGACACTAAATACACACCAAGTTCATAGTATAACATGATTTTTTGTTTATTTATGATGCCCAAACTTTTCGATAGTTGGGCCGAATTGAGCATAAATTATAGATAGACGAGACACAGTGTTTTGTATATTCCATGTATGTATGTGTGTATATATAGTGTATATACAAATAGTAGTAGGCCTACTTTATATATACAGTATATATTCTCTATATATAAGACGAACTAATCTTTTTTCGTTACTTATACTACTAAACACACCTGATTATATTTGCCGAGTTTTTTCGTTATGTTGTAGACAATTTAGACACTGAAGCCGTGAGCCCAAAGAGGGATTGGAAAATTACCAATCCGAAATGCATTGTTAAATAGGCGAAATAAAGAGAAATGTTTTAATCTCGGCTTTTTTTACATCTCGAATGTTTTACTTTGGATATCAATTGTTTTTTTTTATTTTGTTTTTTTGAATAATTTGACTAATTAATTTTTTCACTGCCCTTCTATTGGTTTCAAGTTATTTATGACTATTAAAGCTTTGATAACATAATTTGTTTTAACAGAAAAATTCATCACAAAACGATTATTGATGTTAATGTGTGAAATTTCATTTAATCCACGCAAGTTGTGTGATTACCAGAGCCCCTTCGGCCGCCAATTTAAAGTCTTTTAATTTTTTAAATTAAAAGACTTTAAATAAGTCTACTTCCCGGGACGAGGACCCAGGGGTTGGATTTGTGGGAAGCGAGTGTTCAGGTTGTTTCATTGTGTTGAATTACACAGAACGAGGCTCTTGACGTGTAAGAATTCGAGTAAAGGTTAAACGGTGTATATCTTCGTGTACAGTGACGTTACTACCGTGCATGTATATGAATGTGTGTGATCGAAGAACATCTTCGGCATGTCTATAAACAGAAAAACAGTAAATTACGATACGGGAATAAGAGGTGTTAAAAAATAAAACGAAAGAGTTCTTACCATCGGAAAATATTCACTTGTACGATAAATGTTCACTTTGTCCTCTTGGTGGTAAAGTTGGGGAGGGAGATTCTTCTCCCTCCCAAATGTTCCTACAAAACACAAAGGCAGTGAGAAATCGAGAAGTTCATTCATTTATTACCTAAGGCCAACATTATTACCTTTATCAGACAGTCTTTCTTCCCGAACAGTGTTATGAGAAGAGCGAAGGACTTGATTTAGCCTAACTTAACCTACCATAATCGGAAGCTCAATCCTCAAAACAGCTGTTTGGGAAGAAAGGTCGGCCGAATGTTTGTCGTCAAATCCATTGTCGTCGATCGAGTGTCACGTTTGGGAGACAAGTCCATGAGAACATCCGAGTAAGAGAAGGCCACGCCCGAGTAAAGGTGTCGTGTCCTAGTGAAAAGTGTTGAACCTGGTCAGAATGTCGCATCCGGGTGCAAAGGGCGAGTTGGGAAAAATCGAAGAGGATCACTGCTTAGGCCAAGGGAACCGCAGCCACCCATAGCAACAAAATCGCAGACATTACGGTTTCTCGACTTGGGTGGCTCTCTTCTCCGATTTTTCCCCGTTCCGGCTTCCAAAAGATGATGCCGATCTAGCGGAGGAAGAGGCAGATCTCGCGAAAATAGGGAGTGACATAGAACTCCAAGAAAAGGACTCGGACTAGCTGTCACTCCCTATGTCCTCCACAACAAGATCTGTGGCCGGCTGATCCCTGACGATCTTGGCCAAGTGGAATGGACTCGGAACTCTCCCACCTCCGGGAGAATGCCACTCCAAACGCACTTGGGAAAAGTCGTCACCCACTGCCTCTTGCTCGATGGTTTTTTTTCCCACAACGAACCAATCGATTCGGCAGAGACCCAGTCGAACCCGCGGTCCTCGAACGTCTCATCGGATCCGTCCGATGAACCCCCTCCTTCCGGCGCCACCGCATTCTTCCGTCGGAACCTCCGGCGAAACCACGCAAACATTCTGAAAAAAAAGAAAGAAAATTTGCAATTAGTCGATTAAAACAAAAGCTTAAATTAATGTCTAAATTCTTCCGAGAAAAGCAAAATGCTCACCTTTTTAAATCTAAAAGATTCGAATCCGAAGCGCAAACGGTCGACCATCGAACGACGTGCCGAGATGTCTTCTGGAACCGATTCTCCAAGTAATATTAAATAAATTCTTACGTCTAGGGTCAATACGGACTAAGACTTACCTGAAAAATCTTTAATTTTCCTTCGAAAACTCCGCAAACAGCAGAAAAAAAGGGCACACAATCCAACAGCGCGAGAAAAGCACGTCCTACGCCGTCTTAATCTCGAGAATGAAGTTAGATGAAATCCGTGATGGAAACCTTAGGGACAGGAAGTTCCAATGAACTTCCGATACAAACCGGAAGTCACGTTTTTTCAATTCAAACCCCCCGAAAGCAGTTAATAGGCGAGCGGCACAAGTCTATAGTTGAAGGAAAAGTATGATGTACAGGGGCAAGCCACTATTAATTTGAGATAGAGAGCATATATTTTAAATTAAATGATTTAAAAATACGATTAAAACTTGCAGCTCGGCATTGTAAACGTTTGAAGAATATTTTCATTATAAATTTTTAATAATTTAAGAATAAACGAATGTGAAATTTATTGAATATTCCATTCTTAATTTTATATATTGTTCGTATACATTTAAAGTCTTCTTAAGGCCATTTTTTGTGTAATACTTCGTAATCTAAACTGAAAAGAAATCAGAGTAAATATTGATATTACATATAAAATAATACGCATTACTTTATAATTAAATTACACATTATAAAGTAAATTAAAAATAATATGTAATTGTTTTTATAAACTATTTTTCTCCGCGAAAGAATCCATCTTTAAAATTGTGCGCGAAAGAATAATTTAAAATACACCTGCCAGCCAATAAAACTTCACTTTGACACACGTGGTTTTTTTTTCTTTTTTACACCAATTAAACGACGGTTTACAAATCGATAAAATTTTGAAATTAAAATCCAATCGAACATTATTACAATAGTTGGCACGCGCGACGTTACCGTTACGTAACATAAAAAAATTCCTATCGAATTTGATTGTTTTATTTAAACATACGAATAGTTTATTTTGAAAATAGACGGATAAAAATAAATAAATCTTTTCATAATAATAATAAACAATGTCAAGGTCGTTCTAGAAAAAGAAAACGAAGGAAGGAAGACGATCACGTGATCGGCCGGGCGAAAGACTATTGGTGGAGAATAGCGGTTCAGAGCGTCCGCAGTCATCACGAGTCGTCTGTCATTGACGTCTGATCGTGTGGGGTTTCGTTTCGGAGCGAAATTGTTCGTCGTCCAACGTATTTTCGTTAATCGCAGTCGCATTTTTAGAAAAAAAAGAGAATCGGGAAGGTTAAACTTCCTGGACGTTTCTTGGTTTCGTTTATTAAAGTGACGATCGGATCAGCCTTGCATTCGAGGCTGGTGTTAGGGATAGAAAGGGAATAATTATCGTGACACCGATGTCTCAGATTCTTAAAATCATTCTAAACTTCAATCATTCTCTTCACTCGGACAAGGTAGGACCATGCATTTGATCATTTGTTGACAAACACTTGCATTCACGTTGACAATATGGCCGACCTCGTACACATTGTTCGTGCCGTATTTACAAATAAAAAAAAATTATCGATTTCATTATTTACGATCACGTTTCTGTAATTGATTTATTTTAAATGTTTAAAGATCGACTATCGTAAATATATGTCTAATGTGTGTGTTTTTTTTTATTTAGTAACGTTATAAATCCGTTACTTTATTTACTAAAATGCATTAAACACTAGTAATAATGCGAAACAATAGATTAAACACGAATAACAATGCAAAAACAATAGATTAAACAGTAATAATGCGAAGCAATAGATTAAACACGAATAACAATGCGAAACAATAGATTAAACGCTAGTAATAATGCAAAACGATAGATTAAACACTAGTAATAATGCGAAACATTGCTAATAATACACTGAACGATAATTAAATAACTCATAAAAATGCACTATTTAAATGCCGATTTTCTCCACAATAATCTTTTAATTTTAGGAATATTATAATTATTTTCGGAACTCGTTCCATTCATTATTATCTTGTTATGAGAAAGGTAAAGAAAAACAAAACGAAAACAAGTAAGATGATCGTAAAAGTGGAGATAACTAGTTTTTAATGACCCGTTTATTTCACAAAAAAATTCTATGGAATTGTCAATGTTGTGATTTTGACCTATAAGTCTATTTACATAGTTTTCCTTCCCGTAAATATGTAATAATATATATATATATATATTTTTACATTAATAAATATTTGAAATAAATACAAAATTTTCGTATTAAAACTGTATTATTTTTTAATATTTCAGGTGATCCCCTTACAGGACTATACAATTCAAAGACTTCTCTCGGAGAAGTGGCTGTTCAGTAAGTTGTATACAAGTAATAGTATGAAAAAATAAAATTATCAGTTGTATAAATTGTGTTTTTTTAAAGCGTAATCGGAACATTTAAGCACTAAAAATCATAACAGTTATAAAAATTTTAACTGTGATTTTTAGCGCTTAGCCTTAATAATTATCATCGTGTAATTAATATAAAAATTTTCTACCAAGAAATATAAAATATGTATTTTTAAAATGTATAAAATATTGATGTTGTAGTTATATATATCGTATGTAAATGTACTGTATTATTGATCATCTTACCGAGCTTCAGCGGTTTACAATGGACTCGAACAATATACATGTATACAGGAAATAAAATACATATAAAAACTAGTTTATTTAAAATGCATAATTTATAAAAACATGTTTATCGTTAGATGGAATTTTTGCTTTAACAATAAAATGCACTCGAATACGTTCTGTATTTGTTTAAGCGCACAGTTATACAGGTAAAGAATGCCTGGTACAAACTTCCATAAAAAGGATCTGTTGTGAGCTATATAAAAAAATAATAATAGAATAAAATTTTAGTATGGAATCACGTTTTAAAACATTAGGTTCTAGGTTTATTTTGCTGATAAAATTTACTATTATAATATATACATTTAGCATTGTAGATAACGATTTAAATGTAATATTGATTAGAAAATTCTAATTAGATTTTTACCTCAATTTTCATTACAAATTTTGAAGTCATTCGACCGTAAAAATGCAATTTAATTAATTATTTTTTTCATGAAAAATTTATTTTAATGATAATTTAGTTTTAAAAACGATTTAAAAGTTATCAAAATCTTATAAACAGGAGGAAATAATGCGATTCTAACGTAAATTAGTTTGGTAATTTATGCTTGAGTATCAAATTTCTTAAAATATATTCGAGTTTAACATTATTCTAATTAATTTTTATTCATATTTAATTAAAATACTGTTGAATATATATGAGTTATTTTAAAATATTTAGCTTGATAAATCAACTTTTCCATCCAAGTTATTATTATTATTTTTAGAGCACGTTTTTTTTTAGCCATCTCTTTTTTGAGTACCAAAATAACGGGACGTTTACCCCGGGATACGGCGATCGCGACCTACCTCTTGAGAATTTGTTTCCGACTAGTATTCGTTTATCGGCTTTTGTATGGGGAAATGTTTAGTTTTTTTTAGATTAAATGTTTATAGATCTATGTAATTTATATAACCACAATTTTTCGAGATAGTTTTGTCTTGTTTTGAAGTTGATTTTCTTCGGAATTTGATATTTTTATCAGAAGTTGGAAGCGTGCCTTTGGCATGCCGTATGAGCTTGTGTTAAATGTACTAAAGTACCGTCGCGTGACTGGAACTGGAGTAATGCCAATATCGAATTAAATGCTGTTATTCTTTATAGAAAATAAACAGTTCAATAATTAAAACTGGTTCATTTTAGTGTTATTTATCTAACATATTTTGAAAGGTTTAAAAATTATGCTATCTGCGTTATGTAGGCGTTTTTTTACTATAAAAAAATTACCTGTAGTTTAGAATAGGTAATGTGTACAATGGGTTTTATTCGCTTATTTTTCGACCTTAACCCGTCGTTTATGCGAAGGTCGGTTATGAAAGGTTAAGGAATTGTTTTAAATAGGCCAATGATACAATACAAATTTAATACGGTTGGCAATTGCAACATTTTGTTCAATTCGTTGACTGCTAGTGGGAATGTTTATTCGTGCGATTACTCCTCGATTTCACTATAAAATGGTAAATAATATTATATTTTGAATGTACTTTTACTGTATTAACGTATATTAACCATTATTTCAGTCAAATTAAGATTTTGCCTCAAATCTAATTAAGAATCTCTTCATTTTCATTAATTTTCTTTTCAGGATTTTTAAATTCCTTATTTTTTTATAATCGCTTCGTGTTACATGTTTAGTACATTTTTTTTTAATAATGTTGCTTTTAATATTTAAATATTGTAGTTTATTACGAAGAAACTAATGTTTTGAGATATTTTTAAAATAATAATTTTTTCATAATATTGTGTGAAATATATCTGAATATGGTGAAATGAGTTTAAAGTGCAGAAATTGAATATTTAAAAATGTATGGGTTTCCAAAATAATTACTCCAAAACTTTAAAAAACTAACCTTTGTGCCAGTAAACAACAAAATAAACTTTAAAATAGTAACAGGATATATTAGATACTATTGTTAAATAATTAGAAACAAACCATGTGTCAATTATGCTATTCAGGTAGAAATAGTTAGAGTTTTTTCTTAATTTTGTTAGAATTTTGTTTCTTCAGTTTTACAAAATTGCATTTTTATTGGAAAAATACAAATTTAAAATATGATATTTCAAAATTGAAGTGAACAGAGTTGCTAAAATAAGTATCAAAAATAGTGCTTTTAATTAGTTATATTATTCAAATAGACATATTATGCATATAATTTTATGTATAACAACACTGAATTACTGTATATTATTTAAGAATTGAGAACTGAAAAGCAAATATCAAATCTAGCATTTTTATTATTATTATGAACAAATGTTTTTGGCTTTGTAGGAAGAGATTATCAGGTTTATTTATAAAATGTAATAATATAAAATAGAATGCACAAAATTGAAAACTTTAAAAGAAATATAAATTGCATAAGATTAAAAATTTTAAGTAATAAAAACATGAATATACATAGATTAATAAATATAAACAGTTTATTATTCTATATTTTTATTATCATTAACCTAATTATAAGGAAAGTATAAGTTTTTGAAAAAAAACTGAATATTATAATCAGATAGATTTTCTTTCCTTAATTTTATTAAGTGTTATCTTGATATACAAAGCAGATTGTTACAAATTAAAGTATTTTTTTATTTTAAATCAGGATTATGGAATGATAAATTTATATTTATTGAAATATTTATTGATTAATGTGTTTATTTTTCAAATAAATTCAAAAATTTTAAAGGAAATATTCAAAAGTTTTAATTCTTATTCGTTTTTCACAATAATGATCACAGATGTAAATCTAATTTTGTAAAAAAATTATTTCTGTAATATTAGATGCAGCATATGGTCACAAATTATTAAATATTAACATCTAAAATTCACAACGTTGTTGAAAAATGAACTGATAAGGTTAAAAATTGCCTAAATTTATTTCATATTAGAAGAACTCTTCTATATTATTGGCACAGTGATAGATGCTTTTATTTCCAAATATTTATCACTTGCATTACAATTATAGAACAGAACATTAAACATACTTTTTGAAACTTCTGTAAGGAGTTCAAGACTTCTGTTTTTATCAATTTTAAAGTTTTCAAGTTCAATTAAAATAAAATATATATATATTTTAATGTAAGAATTGTTATATTTCTTATATTATCTATATATACTATTTTAATATAAATGAAATATTTTTTCTAACTGGATATAAAATAGATTTCCACTTAATTTTCTTCCTTCGGGAGGTCTTGTTTAGATTTTACTTGAACAGATTTTATCCTTATTACTACTGAACGGCCTTCAATATAAAAAAAATTATCTTTATAATTTACATACTGTTTTGTATAGTATAAGATAATTTGCATACTTTTAATTTTAATTTATTTTTCAATACCAAATGAATTCTGATAGTTGGAAGATTAATGTTTAAAATCTATCATATTATTAGATAAGGAAAGGATAAATCTATAAATGTACAATTTTTTTATAAGTTATTTATAGTTTTATGATTATTTTCAGTTTGTTGATTTTTTTTGTTATTTGTAACCATTAGTAAAAAAAACCAGTTTATTTATATTTATAATTTTTGACCTCTAAAATGAGATGTTACTTCTTACTAACAGAGGTGTGTGATTTGTTTATATAAATATCAGAATCAGAAAAAGTTTATTGTCTAATGGGAATTACTTCCCTATTACAAGGGGTTGTTTATATAAATATGTGGTTCAATTTGTGAAGAAGAAAATTTTAAAACCCATAATTTTCTTCATCACAAATTTGGTTGTTTCATCAGTTGTTTTTATTTAGTGTTATTAATTTATATTATATTTTATCAAAACTGACTTGGATATATTCAGTCAATTTGTGCAGTTGAACAAACAGGTTAATGAAGTGTTTCAGCATGATAATTGATGATTAATAGTGATAATTTTTAGCATATATTCATACTAAAAATGTTGAGTGATTAAAATTTATATGGACTTATAAAAGAAGTTATTATAGCAATTCCTGTAATCTAGGAACTAAAAATTAAAACAAATAACCTAATGAGGTTGCATATAATACATAGAAATTAATATTATTAATAAATTAAGATAAATAATAAATTATAAAAAAAGTTTTTATTTTAGAAAACATTTTACATATTGCACAATATTGTTTTTGAAAATATGTTTTTTCCTATATTAGAGAATTTAGAAAATTTTCTAAAAGTTAATTAAAAATAAGAATAATATACAAATTATTAAAATAATCAGATTTCATTTGAAAACAATATTACATAAGTGTTTTCAGAGTCAACTTCATTCTAAGGTCTCTTAAAGTTGTTACTCTTTGTAAAAAATTCGAACTGTTATACATTCTGGATCAGCATTTGCTTCCGAATAGATAACATTTCCTTCAGCAGAATTCCAAGTGCTGTGACTGGTAAGAAAATAGGACACACAAGAACTAACTAAATATATATGATTAATTTTTTAAAATTACATATATATAGAAAATGTACTTGGTTTCTAAATTGGAATTTTATTTTATTTTTATTATACAATTAAGAAAGTAGTAATAATTTATATATTTAATATCGATAATGTACAGATAATAACATACAGTATATAAATTTTTTTTCATAGGGTTTAACGATACATGCAAAACCTCTGTTTGCTTTGGCTTACAGTTTAGCACTCAGTAAAGGCTATTATTAAATACCAAAAAGTGATTTGAGTTATGGAAGAAGAAGGTTTTGACCTTGTACTTCAACCTTTAAGTTTTTCTGATATTGGTGAAAATATTAGCCAAATACAGAAAGCAGAAAATACAATGCCACCATTATCACCAGCTATGGGGCTTAAACGAAAAAAAGGTGTAATAAATGGAAAGAATATAAGTCGATGTAAGTAAATGTTAATATGACTTTTAAGATAATCTATTATAGAATCTTATTATATAATTAGAACCTTTAAGAATCTTATTATAAAATATAATTTAATAAATATTTTTATGATTAATTTTAAATTAAAATTTGCAATTTATCTTCCTCTAATCAGTTTGTTAGTATTTAGTCAGTATGTATTCAGAAAATTGATTTTCAACAAAGCTTATTGTCTGAAAATTATATATTAATTTTCAACTTTTTCAGTGTCATAAGATGTCCAAGATTAAAGTTAATTGTAATAACCATTATTATTTTTGTAAGATTTTAATCATTTTATCTTGATTCAGATAAAGATAAAGTAACAATAAGACTATTACTGTAAATCTGTTATTGAAATAAATTAATATTTTTCATATATATAGAATTTTGAATCATTACTTTCAATAATTAATGATTTAGAATTCTATAAAATGTGAAATTGTGCATGGAAAACCCTGATATAATCAATCCCAAGGAAGTGTCAAACCAAGATATAAAAAATATCATAATGTGGATGTAGGATAAAATAATCTTCATTGGAGTTAAAGTATAGGATTTATCCGGTTAATAAAGAACAGAGTCTATTATGTAGGTATCACAATCTACATATTAAGTGTTGTTCAGATGAAAAATAAAGATTGGTTTGAACATTTCATTTTTGACACAAGAAGTGTTGAACATTGCAAAAGAAGAGGAATTGAAAAATATTTTAGATTCTGTTAATGCTAAGAAGAATAATTAGTATAAAAGAAAATGAATGATAAAGGTAAGCATATACTTAGATGGATGGGCAGAGAATAAAATCAGCTGCATTATAAGTTATGGACATGTGCACACTAGGTGGTCAGACAGAAAAAGAGGACATGTTGCATGGAGAATTTCTGTTAACTAATGGTGCACCATTAGTTAACAGAAATTTTTTTCTTTTTTAGAGAGCAAACACTGTCATTTGTGCCCATTTCTGTTACTATGGCAGACATGGTTTTAATTTTTCTAGTGCAAAACTATGAAGAATTATATAATTTACAGCATACTCTTCCAATAATAGACAGCTGAATACCACTAATTCTTCATAGATGCTATTCATTTCAAAAATCATTATTTGTTTTATTTTACAATTGAACCCTATTTATATGTTTTTCAAGGAAATTGAGAAAAATGTACAAGTGAAACTAATTATGAATTGGTTTTAGAGCTAATATAGTTGTCACAAAAATATAAGATGGCATAAATTAACACTGTACAACTGAATTTGTACATATAATTTTTAACAAAGAAATATCAATTTTACCATATATACTATACAGTAGACATAAATATACAGTGTATATTTGAACAGCATATGAAAGAAAAAGTAAAACAATGTGAAATTAAGTCATGTAGTTTTAAAAATTGACCAAGTTTTGCTTGTTTCTTGTTTTTTCTGATGAACCTGTCATATTCTCTACTGGTATGTGGTAAGTCGGTTGTCTCTTTCTGATGAAACTTCAGTCATGCGAAAGAATGGAATGAGTCATTCTAAAGATTAGCTCATATTGACAGCAAATAGTGAAAATGAATGAGAAACTGGAAAGCAGTTTTTATTCACTTAACAAAATTTGTTCACTCTACAACCTAAAATGCTTTTCTTTGTGATTCAAAATGTCATTACAATACATGCTGTAATAAATTAACCAGAAGAACAATGAATAAAATTAATACACAATTAGTTATTTCATGTTCTACTTTTACAAATGTTAAATATAAAATGCTATGTTGTTATTATTATATATAGTATGTACTTGAACTGTACTTTTTTATATATGTTAAGAATATATTTAGATATTCTTATATCTAAAGAATCACAGGTATTTTATGAAAAGCCTAGGCAAAGTGGAAAATACAGCTTTTGTTTTATAGATTGCCCTTCTCTTAGAAATGCCTAAATTTCATACTTTGCTGGTAACATATACAGTACTGTATGTTACAATACAAAACAATGACACTGTAAAAGGGGCCAGGAGGAAAAATTGTATTTCCTGTAATTTGCTTTATTTTTTTTTCTTTACTTTTTTGAAACAACAATTTTATAAAGGTAGTTTATAGGAATAAATGTATTTTAATAGTCATTATATTGAAGTAATTTTGATAAGTCCTTTCTAATTCTTCTTAAAGCCATATTGCAGAAACTGCACTATTTGGAAGAGTCCATGAATTTTAAGATAGAGTTTTGTTTGTTTTCCATACATATCTAACCATCTTCATAAAAATGAAGTGGATAAATAGAAACAAATTTGTTTGAGAGACATGATTTTTGTGAATCAGTTGCTTAATTGATCTAAATCATATATGTTTTGTCCCACCTTGAGACAAAATCCTGTGCGACATAATTTAGTAAATTAGAAATATCACGTTACTATTATGTAGTATTTAATATTTTAATTATAATTTAGTATATAATAAATATAGTATATAATAAATATAGTATATACTGATAATAATTATAGTATAAGTATTTTTTTCTATAGTATTTAATATTTTAATTATAATAAGGAAACTATAAAACATGCCAAAATTTGTGTGCCTAAATTTTGTTGCTATTGCCTAACAAGAAAACTTCCTAAAAATTCACTTTTTTTCTTATTTTGTGTTAAAGTTGAAATTTTGCAAATAGAAAGTATAATTAACCCATAAACTGTCAGCAAATTAATAAATACAAATGTGAATACATTTGTATTTATTAATTTTAAGCCTGCTTATTAGTTTTTTAAATTTTTGTTTATTATGGCATGTCACAGATTGTCAACAATCAATATGTAGCCTATTTGTGACAGGACTCTGAAAATTCTATACTTGTTCAGAACCTGTAATATTTTGAATAATTGTGCTTATGCTGTCTTTTTAACCATGCTTAATTAGCTTTAATAACTGCATTATGCAATTGTATTATAAACGACTCAACTGACCAGATACTATGGTACGAATAACTCTTTAATAATACAACTAAACACTTCTACATCCAGCTGGTTACTTCGAGCTATCTCGCTCGCTTTCTCTCCCGCCACCTCGGCACCTCTCGATTACATTTCCTTTGTTTTAAATTGTCAACATATATTATATTACATTTAATGTTTATCTAAATATTCAACACATATTACAGCCATGTTGTGCAAATTGGGCAAGGACACAAACGAGTACGAAGTATGCAAGTATGAAGTTTTTCTTTATAAACCTGATTATTAAAGCCAAACGAACTGCCATATTATCGGGCTAAAAGCTCAATGCCACTATTAAAGCAGCCAAGGTAGACAAATCAAGAATACTAGACGAAAAAAGAAATACTGTAATGCATCTTGAAAACAAACTAGAAATCTTCAAGGCCATGGGTGAAAAAACACATAACATCTGTCTTTTCTTAAATGTATTAAAGACAATTTCACCCACAGCAATTGAATTGAAAAGAGCATTCTCAGTAGCAGGACTTTCCTTTAGTAAAATAAGAATCAAATTGAATGATCGGAGTATTGACCATCTTTGCTTTTCAAAATCTTATTATAAAAATTTACAATAATATTTTGTATTATGCTTTATTTAAATAACGAAAATTACCTTCTAACTTAGAAGTTTGATCTATGTTCGTTTTTTTCTTTAAATTTTCAACTTGATTCAAAGGCATTTTTGTTATAAGCAATTTCCAACAAACTTTAATAAACTTTTTCTATTTGTGAAAAATTTCTATGTAACTCAAAAGTAATTTTTATACATATTTTACACAGCATTATTAATATTATTATTTTGAAGGTTGCAGGTTGTATTAAGTTACTTTAAAATGAAAAATAATTATATCATTTGATTTTAAGATTTATTTTATATCTTTAAAAATAATTAGTTATATTCTGGAATATCCTGGGATCCCGGGAAACAGTTCACTTTTTTTCTGGAATTCCAGGACAAACAAAAAACCGGGAAAAGAGAAACCCTAATTAGTGCATTCCCATCCCCTTAATGTTTCATTATTAATATTATCCTTTTATCCTAGATAAAAATGACATTTATCTGATAGCAAATAATTCCTTAATAAATTCTGCTACTGTTTGTTGAGAAATTTATTTTTGTAAAAGGTTCTTTATTATTTAGGTTAAAACAGAAGTAAAACTTTTTGGATAACAAAAATCCTATATAATTCATAACAGAAAAACTCAAAACAATTGCATTATTTTTGAATTAAAAAATAATAAAACATTTGCAAATACTTATAGAGATACATCCACATTATTTTAAATTTATTATTGTTTGAAAATAGAAAAGAAATTTTATATTTTTATCATTTAGCCATTCTGCATATTATACTATTTACAGTATATGGCATCATTTTTAATAGCAATCAGCTGTAAATATATTACATTTTTCAGGTCACTGCAAAGAAATCCAATTGATTTTCAGTAATAAAATATTTGTCTTGTTTACAGAAATTTCTGACTTAAAATATATTAATAACTCTTTAAAATAGGAATTCACTGTTGATTGAAGAGTCTGTCAATGATGTATTGCAGGTTCAAATCCTACTTTTGTTGTAGATGGTATTATTTCCTTCAGTCTTAAGCATAAACTTTGCTGGAAAGAACAAATCACACAAAGAACATATCAGTAATTGACTATTCCAACTTTATTATACCAGGAAATGCATTTTGGAAATGCAGGAAATGCCCCTTCTCAGTCCTTTATTACAGATCTTAAAATTTCTTAAAATTATGTTAGTGAACACTGAGTGAATCAGCTTTATGTTCATAAGCTGTATAAACATAAAAGTAATTGTAAACTTTTATAAAGGTTGATTTTAAAAAAAAATACACAAATAAAATTAATATAAAACTATGATAAAATTTCAAGAAATATTTTTAAAAACAAAAATGTGTGTATATTTGTGTAAAAAATAAATGTAAATACTTTAAAATGTTGATTAAATAAAGGAAAACCTTTTATAATAAAATTAAAAGGAACTTATTAATCACTTTAAAAAGTTCACTGCCAAGGCAGTGGACTTTTTAAAGTGGCAATTTGGATACAAAATGATATTGTTTTTGTCAAATATGTCTGCACAACCTATAGAGCTTCATAAACAAAAGAGAAATATAAAATGCAAAAATGTCTACAAAATTAATTAACCCAACTAGTTTTAGAAAATTAAACTTTTTTTTTAAAATTTTATCCTCTGTTAAGATTTTCTGAAAATCTTTACACAAGTTAAATTAAACCAAAGCAATTATTGTTGTTTGCAGAAATGATAAATTCTTTTCCCAAATCAAGTCAACTTGCCAGTCTATGAAATAAACTGTATTTTACAGTTCTTAAGTCTTCCTTTTAAATAATATTAATAAAATTTTTTTAATGTTGAAGTTTGATTAGTTATGAAATTCTTAAATAAAAAATTAATTAATAATTTTACATGTGGTTATAAGGTGTGAATTTAATTTGAATTTACATTCTGAAACTTTTACCTGATGAAGTCAAAAAAATAAATGTGAATGTATTCATTTTTTTCTTTTCTAATTGCTTTTATTAGAATATTTTATAAAATTAGATTGGTTTTTAAATTTATAATGTTAACATATCAAATATCTTATTTGATATCTCTCTAAAAAATAATAATTAAAAAATTGTAAGTAAATTTAATAAGTAATTTAATTCCGTAAATTATGTCTGTAATTTTCTTGAAATTTTTACTCCCCCTCCCCCTCTTGTCCCGGTTTACCCAAGTTTCCATAACTTCTCTCCTTTTCGGACGTCCAACAAAACTCAACCCCCCCTTAAAACCTTTATCACTTTATGAATGATAAATACCACAAGTGGAATAAATGATTTTTAAACATTTAAAAACAGGGTACTTCAATTTTAAAATTAATAAACTTTAAGAATTAAGATGTACTTGTCAGTAGAAGTCACATTTTTTTATAACACAGTGAGAACATTTACTTTTAGTATTTTAGATTTCTTACAAATAAAATAAAATATATGTTTTTATAAATGTTAAGACTGTATATATATATATAAAATTTAGAAATTACATTTAGATCTACAAAGAAGTAATAAACAAGTTATAAAACAAATTATCTGTGAGTGAGTAAGAAAATATGATGCATAGCTTGAATATATTTGAGTTATCAAGCCTTCTTCAGTATACACCTGAAATTGAATGGAAATAGCTTCACTGAATAGATTACATTACTTTGAATATTGTGTTTCAGATAAAGTATTTTAGTAGCTATATTTTTCTGTCAGTGAATTTCTTCTCAGGCTAACAACTGTTTTTGTATTTACTCTTCTAGAATATATATAGTTTTTTTTTTTAGTTTCTTTACTTTTTGATTTTAGTATATAAAATTTCATTATTTGATTTGTGTTCAAACAAACTCAAGTTAGTTTAAATAAAAACTGATTGAAAGAGTGAAATCCAATAACTTTATACTACAGATAATTTCTTAAAACTCTAAGACAGTTTTAATTTTTTTACTATATTAAATTTAGCTACATTGGTAAGATTGCAATGGAAGGAAGCAGCAAGAAAAGTTCTTCATTTAGAAGATCCGTGGGAAGAATTTCATTTAGAAAAATTGGAAACTGAAGTTGTTAGAAGATATCGTTTCAGTGCTCTCAAACAAGATTGGATAACTGATGATATATTAGTAAAAATTGCTAAAGAGGTATTGATATCTATACCATAAATTAATTCATATAATTAATTAATTCATTTTTTATTTTGTAAATAAAATAAATTATATATAAATATATTTTTTATTTATTATTCTAGCCATTCAGCCATGGAGCTATGCGTTCCTGTTATCGACTGTAAGCTTTTCTTTTATCAAAAAATTATTTGTTATAAAACTATGATAATGATAATTAAATTACTTAATATAATAATTTTAATCAGATGAAAGATAAATTGTTATATTTTAACTTTATTGTAATGATTAAAAGTAATCTTATGTGAAAAGAAACATATGGGATCATGGTTTTCATCAAACTGATTTTTAACACAAGGCTGATTACTTAGAAAATAATACTTAAAAGCAACCAGTTTGAGTAATCAGTCTTGTTTTAAAAATCACTTTTATGAGAACCATGATTTCACATGTTTCTTCTCATGTAAGATTACTTTCTAATCATTACAATAAAGTTGTTAATACCAATTCAGTTTATATAACATGTAACCAAAGTATTTCATAGTTTATATGATTTATATTAAACTTGTTACTTTTTATACAAAATAATAATTGAAATATGTTACTTTGATTATTTTATATGCATAATTTTACTTGCAATATACTTATTTTTAGTTTCTGAATATTATTTGAAAATTAATGAATTGTACATAGGAGATATTGCCCTATAGATATTTTCTTGGTCAGGCATCTTAGTAAAAGATGAATATTATATGGTTTTGGGATGGAGAGTTACAACACTCATTTTCTTATACATATCATATAGTTTATTATGATCTAGATAAATTTTTACACACATTATAGGTTAGATATTATTAAATCAATCAACAAGTGTCAGTCAACAAATTTTCTGGTGACATGTCTGTCTACACTGAAAAATTTGTTGAATTGTCAATAACCTTTAACTAACTAAATTATCATCAGAATTATCTGTACTTCTGTTATTGAGAAGATGTCTCTAATAGAACTTAGTTTTATTAGTACCCAATCATATATATTGATATTTTATGTAACATATGAGCCAGTTGTAGGCCAAATCAATTAATTTCATTCATTTATCCTTGGAATAATTGTTATTATTTTTACATTTTTTGCATAACCAATTTTATATGTTATTTATATTATATAATTTATCATTAAATAGGTTTTTAATGTAACGACATATTTATATGTTGTTACATTTATTATATTTATTTATATGATTATATTTATATTTAACAATATTATAATAATTTTATATCATTATATTAAAGCTGTGCTTTAATGCAGAATATATAAAAATACATTCTGCAATGTTTACTTAAATTTAAAGTTTAAAAGGAATTTTAAAAAATAATGTATATTATCAATTTTTCTACTTTTTATTTTGTGGAGTTAATCAGTTTGGCAAATAAACATCTCATATTCATAATAGTTGTTTATTAAATTTTCTCCTGCTCAAATGTTATAATGTTTGGTCATTATAATTATTATAATACTAGTTTGTAAAAAGTAGACAGAATTTTCTTAATTACTTGAAATTATTTTAATTTATTTTTCATTCTTTGGTTTGAATCAATGTTTTTTCTTTCTATCACAAATAGTTGCATTATAGAAAAGAACATAAATCAAAGCTTATGACTTACATTGTCTTAAAGTTATTTCAATAACTCTGTTTAATTGTTTGGTTCTGTTGAAAGGTTTAGATATGCAGTTGACTTGAATTGTTCTTATGTAAAAAGTATATTCCTTTTCCAAAGACAAAATATTTTTCTGGTTTTGTTCTATATAAGTACTACAATTATTATTACAACAATATTTTGTTTATTTAGTTGCTGCTACAAACTTTTTAATTATATTAATAATCTTTATACATTCTATTATGCTAAAATTATGCTATAACAATGTTATCCTTTGTGATTGATCTAATGAAAGTCTATATCTTGGCAATAATCCATTGCTGTTCACAGTTCACAATTAAGCTATTTTTATAAATTTCAATACTACAATACTGTTGTAAATTTTGTTTATTCTGGGTATCTATTTTTGTTTTGTTTTTCACTGTATTTTTTATCATTGTATAACTGAATATTTTAAAATGAATTACATAAAAAATTCTTGAAATACAAAGTCTGATTTAAAAAAAGTACAGGGACTTATTTTATGTGTATCTGAGCAACAGATTTAAAAAATTGAAAGAAAGAGTAAATGAACTTTCTCTTAATGCTGAGCCAAATTTAAACTTTAATCTGTTAGGCATTGGTCTACAACAGCATTATCAATTAAGAGTTGTGATTAGTATTCTGCAATTACAGAAATGGTTGATTTCAAGGAACAGGTAATGGCACCAAATTTTACTTTAATTTGTAGAAAAATTGGTTCAGAAGCTGTTGGAATGAATGGATGAAATGAAAAGAAGCCTTTAAAGAGAATACATTGACAAATTCAAAGAGTTTAAATAGTTATAACAGATTTAAAAGTGGTTCTTGTTAAGTGAAGGCGATCCAAGATCAGGAAGACCATTGACATTCACTTCTGATGACAAAAAAAGAGATTATCACGTTGGTAAGGTAGAATCTGAGAATAACAATATGAGAAATTGCAGAAAATATTAATATTTCTTATAGTTCTTGTCAAGATATTCTTGACACTTTGAGATATAAGAAAGTTGTCACAAAATTTGTTCCTCAAATCTTAACTCAAGAACAGAAACATCAATACCTGGAAGTTGCTCAGGATTTGCTCGAATGTCCTGAGAAAGACAATAACTTTCTAAAATACATTAATCATGTGATGAGCTGGGTCTACAGATATGAAATCAAAACTAAATGGTAATTCTATAAATAGAGAAAATTGAATGAACCATCATCCAAAAACAGGCATTCATGAGTTATTCAAATGCAAAAGTTATGCATATTGTGTTTTTCAATTGCTGTGGATTAGTGTATCGTGAATATGTTCCAAATGTCAATGCTTGAGTTGGGTGTGTTTGCATTTTGTCACTGGATTTGTGAAAGATGATTACTTGGTTTTTACATCAAGACTGCATAAAGTCTTGCACTGTAATAATGTAATTATTTGTGTCATAATTTTTTATTTGTTATATACTAATTATTTTAAATCTGGGAAAATCTGAATACCTTTTGCAAGGTTTTCAGAAAACTTTAAATTTTAGGGTGTGGAAATGCTGGTTATATGGTAAACTTTATGCTTGGCAGTGTAATTGCTTTGTACACAAGAGACATATGATCAGTTTTGCCAAGTTGTTAATAAGCTTTTTCCTTATTAACCGCATTTTCCCACCATATTAGACCAATGTCCCACAAGATTTTTATAGAAATCAAAATTTCTTGTTCTCTAATATTATAACCTTATTCTCTATTATTATCTTATAAGATCACAGATGTAGGTACAATCAGAAGTTATGTAGCATATGACTGTATATTAAGTCATAAAAATTGCTAATATAAATCTATAAACATGCAATGATTTAGATATTTCTTTGATTTCATTTTTAAAAAAATGTAATTTATTAAACCAGGAAAAAGCATTCAAGTTTTGCACATACCCACAGTTGGAAAACTGCCTGTAATTATGTTGCTAAAAGATATATGGAGGATGTTGATAGAGAAGTATATTTTGAAGATGTAAAACTTCAAATGGATGCAAAACTTTGGGGAGAGGAATACAACAGACATAATCCTCCTAAAAAAGTAAATTTATCTTTTGTTTTGTTCAGAAATAGTTTAGTTAAATATAAATTCACTCATTAATAAAAATTTTATTTAAAATATTTTAAGAAAGAATTATGAATATAGTAGAATAATGAGAAACCACAATGTAAAATTTAGTTATGATAATTTAGAGGTATCAGATTATGTAATTTTTCTGATTATGATGATATAATTCTTGATAATTTAAATTATGATTTAAAATTATTTTTCATAATTTTATAAGATAAATAAATATTATATACAATTAAGACAATAAATCTAATTAGATAATTAGATATACATCTAGTTTATTTATATATTTATAATACATATTTAAAAATAACTTTTTTTATTGAATTAATTATTAAACTTACATACATACAAAGTACCTAACATTACAAATTTTAATTTTTCTTTAGGTTGATATATTTCAGATGTCAGTGATTGAATTTATCAATAGACCAGATAAGCCTTTATTTCACCTTGAACATTATATTGAAGGACATTACATAAAATATAATTCCAATTCAGGTTTTATAAGTTGTGAAAATTTGCGTCTCACACCACAGGTAATTTTATTATAAAAAGATTTTAATTATGTGAAAATGGAAATTCTAAAATATGACCTTTAGAATTTATTATATCTACAATAACTTTATATATGTGTGTGTTATAATTTAGGCATTCAGTCATTTTACTTTTGAGCGTTCAGGACATGAATTGATTGTAGTTGATATTCAAGGAGTTGGAGATCTCTATACAGATCCTCAAATTCACACAGCAAGTGGTAAAGGCTATGGAGATGGAAATCTTGGTTCAAAAGGAATGGCTTTATTTTTTCATTCTCATGTATGCAATAGAATTTGCAAGAGTCTTGGACTTTCTGAGTTTGATATTGCACCTACTGAGAAAGTATCAAGTCAGAAATTTGCAATATTGCAGGTAATACATAATATTTTAACAATATTTACGTCTTGAAAAATAGATTAAATTTCGGATTCTGTTCTAATGCAGTTATAAATTCTTTTTGGTAAATCATTTTAAAAATTCATATTGTTTTAAATGTTTATTAGCTTTATTTGTATTGATAAAGTTTTATTACTAATATTAATAATTATTGTATTCATTTAAATGATTAATAAATGAAAATAAAATTATTTAAAATAAAAAATCTTCTTTTTAATACAGCAAATCCTTTTTATATTTTATGTAAATTGTTACATAAACCCAAAAGTTCATTTATTTTGACTGTTTTTTTTATGGAAACAAAATTCTTCAGTAGACACAGAACTATTAAATATGTAAATTTATATAAACTATAATAAGTGATTTGTGCTTTAGTCAATAATTTGAAACAGTCAAGCTTTTTTTTTTAACTATAGAATCAAAGTAAACTGTTTTACTTGAGTAAAATTAAGTTAATATAAGTATTTCAAGAAATAAGCAATGTAAATTCCCTTCCTTTCTATTTACATAAATCACAATTTAACAAAACCTGGAGATCAAAATCAAATTTTGATGTGCTAAATCAAGATGTCTTGTATCTGTTACATAAATATAGCAAGTATCAAATCCTGTATATTGTATCTTATAGCAATCATTTTGCTTGTTTTAATGATTTTAAACATTTAAATCAAACTTTCAAATTAAAACTGTACTATAATAAACCTCTTAAATATAAACAAATAATAATTAAATTATTTAAACCAGTACATTTATTTTAATATAAAAGTAAACTTATGTTTTATTAAATGAGTGAATTTAAAATAGGATTTAAATAAATAATTTTTTTCTGATAGATGCATTCAATCAATGCATTTGCCAGTGATGTTTGGTTGATATAATTGTTTCTTGTTTTTGACATTAAATGGAGGATTTCTCACAGAATGTTAAAATATCCTACTAACTTTAGAACATATTTTATTAATAATCTTGAAAAAGTGAAGACATATATAAAGTTTTTTTAGTATAACTTTAGTATAAAATTGTAAACCATCTAGACATTTGCCATCCATGTTTATGCATGTTTTACTGTTTTCATATATTATTCTCATATCTTTAAATAGTTTACCGCTCACTCCATAATCACATAATGCTTGCTTAAAACAATACTGATTGACAATAAATTCATTGATATTTGTTAGATTAGTATCATTTCTGGTGTTGATCATATATATATATATATTTTTTTTTTTTTTCTTTCATTTCTAAATCTATTTCATATGTTGCTTTCTTTAATCTCTGGAATTCCACTCATAGTCTAGGTGTATTACATGCTATCAAGACATCTGCATATGCCATCAATTGTAGGAACCCATCAAAGATGGTCTACCCTTCAAGATTAACATTAGCATCTTACGCTATCCAAACAAATATTAAATAATTGAGTGGAAAGAGTATCTTCTTCATGTAAACTATTAATTAATGTCAAAGCATTTTTATAGCTCACGCCTCACTTTAACTTGGGCTTTAATACAATTAAGTGTCATTTAATCAATATGATCAGTGTCAGTGATATCTTTTTAGCCTACAAATAGAACTGTAATGCTTGTTCCTTTTAATACTATCATAAACCTGTTTGAAGTCAATAAATAATAGATGTAAGATCACATTACATTCACATTTCTCTAGGATATTTCTTAATACAAATGTATAATCAATGGTTTCTCTACCGTCATCTGAATCCACTTTGATTGTCATCAATAGCATTTATAGTCTGTATGGAGAGTCTATTTGCTAGTATTTTAGATAATATTTTGTATGTGACTTTCAACAGAGATATTCCTCTATAATTTTGGCAGTCCAATGACAATAGGTTTATCATCTTTCTTGTGAATTGGCTATATAATAGCGGTATACCAATCCATTGGTATTTTTTGTGCCTAATAAATTGCTTTCAATAGTGTGTATTAGGAATTAAAATAATTTATAATTCAGTAATTATATAATAAAAGAAATTTTAATTGAAACTTTTTTGGCTGAAAGTTTATATTATTTGTTTTGTTTTTAAAAATTGACATGTATTATTCTTCATGTCAATAACTAAATAAGTATTATGATTGCTGAAAATGTTTTAAATATCTGATATTAACATTAAACTTAAATTTATTTTTATAGAAATCAAGTAAAACTCAGGTCCGAGGTACAGAAGAACTTTGTTTAACCCCAACAGAATATGAAAAACATCATCTAAGAGAATTCCTTTGTTCTCGTAGTCAGTCATTTGGTAGCTCACCAACAATGAGTCCTGTAGATGATCTTTCACCAATTTTTCATTTCAAATTTAAAGAAAATCATGATAGTAGTGATGACACAGGAAACAATTATGGGGATGATAATGATAGTGATGAAGATCATGATTTTCTACAATTTCAATTTTCTCCAGACTCTGGAGTTGGATCTTTTAAACAATCTAGAAGACAACGATACGATTCTGAAAGTAGTAATCTAGTATATGATGTAAGTAAAACTAAAATTTCATTTTAGTAATTTACATTGGTGATGATTTGACAGATATAGATAATTTAAGTTCAAAATTTTAACATATAATTTATTTAAAACATAGTCCATTGAAATTGTAAGTTAATATTATAAATTTATAAAATTTTTAGCCAAAAGAAAAAATATTTTTATTATAAGGATTATTGTTTAATAATGTTTATAAATTATAATTAATAGTAAACAATAAAAAGCATTAGTTCTGAAATCTCTAATAATTTTATTTCAATTTTAAATAATTTCTTGATTTCATCATAAAAGGCTTCTTGGGCATTGTTTATAGATTTCTTGTTGCATATGCTAATGATGAAACTTAGATGCTATTTAAAAATGCATAAGAGAAAACTATTGGAGATGTTATAAATAAGGGCAATTTACTGTTTACTTAACTTAATTATTTATGTAATGAAAATGCCATTTGGAATTTTTGTTTAAAGTTGATTTATAATTTAATGGCATTTACTCTGTATTTATTACTTTTTAAATGGTTTTATGTTGGCATCTATTCTACTATATCAGATTGTCATATGTATGCATTATTTACAGAAAGTTCTAAAAAATATTTGTGTTAAACAACTGTAATGATATAAAATTATAAAATCTTAACCATCACTTAATTTTATAAAATCTCTTTTATCAGCATTAATATTTTTCATCTTCAGATGATAAATTAATCATAATATGAATAATAATAAATGTTTAATGTATTTATATATTCAACATTTATTATTATTATTTGTACATTTGTATTATTTATTATTATTTGTGTGTATATGAATATATACAGGTCTGTTATGCTGAATCCAGAAATGTTGTACATTTTGTGCAAAAATTTGTGTAATTTTTAAAATTAACACATTAACTACATATTTCACAAAATAGGCTAATTTTGAATTTTACAGTGTATTTCATGAAATTGCCATTTTATACTTTCCAATAAGATACTGACTTTTGTTTCACTCATTCAGTTTTGGCTTAGAAAATACGTGAAGATTTATTTTAGTATTGTCTTCTTATGTGAAGATCATTTAATATTTTATACTTCTTAATAATGCTTGTTACCTTAAGTACTAGTGTGATTACAGAGTTGGCACCACTTTGTTGATGCTGCGTCAGGTTGACACCACTGTGTCCTTTCTGATTGACACAGAAGCCGTAGTGGCTGTTTAATTTGGTTATTGTTGGTTCACGTGAGTGGTCACATGCGTAGGTGGTTGGATTCGGGATGGAGGAAGTCTAAGTGACAGCGTGGCAGAAAAAAGTACTCGGATACAAGCTAAACAAAACAAATACCTGTTTATTGGTACATAGACTGTACGCTGACAATTACAGCAAGTTTATTAGGATTTTATTAGCCTTGAGCATGAGAGAGAGTTTACAATAGTTTGCAAATTGATAAATACCTTGTTGTGGAGGTTCTAAAGATCTGATGTTCATTGACTGGCTCATATCATTGACTGGATTAGTTAAAGGAAATTTTTGATACTTCTTGCTTGACTACATCATATAGCAAGTGATGAATCTGAAGATGAAGTAGTTAATAAAGGAGGTGATGTATCCATTAGTAATTAGGTGATGCACAGACACAAGTAGACCGTTGGAGGAACTGGCGATGACTACCGGACTTGGCTGTTCATTGGTATACAAGGTGTGTTCAAAAAGTATCGGACCTTTGGTCGGCAAAAATAAATTTATTGACTTTGAGGTACAAAACCCTAATCCCCTTCAAAGTAGTTTCCTTGGTAATGTATATACTTCTCCCAGCGTTCCTGCCATTGCTGGAAACACTGCTGAAATGCATCTTTTGGAATGGCCATCAGCCGGTTTGTCGGATTTTGCACGATGTCTTCTCTCGACTAAATTCGGGTTCCTTTTAGCGGCATTTTCAGCTTGAGAAATAGCCAAAAGTCACACGAAACTATGTCGGGAGAGTACGGAGCGTGACGAACCACAGGAGTGTTATGTTTGGCGACGAAAGCCCGAATCAGATGCGCAGAATGGGCGGATGCTTTATCACGATGGAGCTGCTAAGTTTTGATCGACCACAGATCCGGTCGTTTGCGTCGCACAGCATCGGAAAGACGACGAAGGACCTCCTGGTAGTACTCCTTTGCGATGGTTTGGCCTTGTGGTGCGTACTCATGACACACCACCCCACAAGAGTTGAAAAAACTGTCATCGTGACCTTTGATATTGCTGCGGACCTGCCGTGCTTTTTTTTGGCCTCGAGGATCGTCCCCGAAAGCCTGCTGAATCTTGCAAATGGTTTACGCTTGGGTATCGCCAAGGTTTTCGGCAAAGTTTGATGTAATATCGCTGCTAACGCTGTTCAGTCATTTTCCAGCTTAGTGGAATCCGACGAGAGCGCACTACATGACCTCACTCATAGGCCGATTGCCAACAACTGACGCTTCCTGCAGGTGGGAAAAAGTTCAGGGTTGTGCATGACTGTTCCCTCCACAACTCCACCGAAGGAGGCCTCTCGCGCATCATTGGTTTACGCAGAAAAAAAAAAGGTCCGATACTTTTTGAACAGACCTTGTATATTAAAACAGCAATATACCTCGGGGAGGTTAAAAGATTGCAGGAATGGTGTCACTTCCAATGCTGGGAAAGTGAAAGGGGAAACTCTCTGAGGTCATACTTTAGCTACATCTAGGTGATGTTTCCCTTTTTTAGAAGTATCTTTTCATTATTTAGTCCAGGTTCTCTCACTAAATTAGGACTTAAGCATATATAATAGAAAAGAAATACTCACAGCAAAAACTTCAAAATTAGAAACACTAAAAAAAAACAGTAAATAAAAATTAAACGAAATGAAAACTTTCCAATACAGTACTTTGAAAAGCTTTCATTTTGTTTCTATTTACAAGTTCATAAATTTACAACAATGTTAATATACTTGACACGTTTGTCAATTTTACAAATTTGGCACATCACCTGCCTATTTCACAAATTTATTATACAAATTTTTGTCTATTTAATGAAATGAGCAACATTCTTTATTGGCATAGCATATGTATATATATATAATTATATAAGATATAATAAATGCCATTTACAGAACATGATTTAAGGTATGATTATGCAAACTGAATAGAAGTCAAAATATATAAATCATTTAATATAATGTAATAAAAAGTAAGAAATGCCATGCATACAGTTTTTAATTTATGATTTATTTTAAATTTATGCAGTATAAACATATTTTTTCTGTTTTCAAGAACCAAATTTCATTACATTAATTGTTAAATTAACTTTTTAGAATAAATTGGTTAATTTATTCTAAAAAATTAGAATAAATTGGTTAATTTATTCTAAAAGAGTTAGAATAAATTAACCAATTTATTATAAGATTTAATATTTAATATCATAAACTTATGAATACTGATAAATTTAAAGAAAATTCTAAACTTTTAACTTATACAATGTTTGATTTCATTTTGTGTCAGTATTCCATTTTTATAATTTTAAATTAATTATTTTTGTCAATTTAGATTTTCTTTTAATCTTAATGATTGTCAAAATTATTGTTTTTGATTTCTGATTTCTTAATTTATTGCATTTTTTCATTATGGTTAGTTCAAAAACAAAAAAATATATAGTTACAACCCAACGAGAAAAACCTTGGACAGCATGTTATTTTAATCAATCTCTAGCTTATCCTTCAATAATATCAAACAGAAAAAGTTTATACACTTATAATTATTTTATATTAGTAAACTTTTATTATAACTGAAGATTTTACATAAAAAATTTTTATGTTAATAATATATAAAAAAGTTATGGGCAATTGAAAAACACAGTTTAAATAATACCCTAGACAGTACATTAATATTTAACCTTTGGCTTGTATAACAGTATTTATATGATCATTCATCATGTCAACAAGAGCCAGGTATTCATTTGGAATAACTTCATCCCAAATTTGCTTGATTTTTTGCTTTAAACCATCCATACTTCCCTGAGGACATTTTCTCAGTGCTTTTTTAATTTTACCCCACATATTTTCTATAGGGGAAGGTCGGGACTACTTGATTGCCATTTTAATGTGTTAATATTATGTTGGTCAGCCAAGACTTCCTGGTTTTAGCAGTATAGCAAATTGCACTATCCTGCTGGAAGATGAAATGTCTATGATATTGTAATTTTTCTAATAATGATAATAGACTTTCTCAAGGATTTGTTGATATTTTGCTGCATTTACTGATCCCTTGATAAAATGCAAATTTCTTATACCTGGGACTGACATGCAACCCTACACCATAACACTCGCTGGGAATTTTACAGTGTGCTGTAGACAGTCATGATGGAATTCCTCTTGCTTTCTAATGATTGTTTTTTCTATTGCCTCCAATGCAGACTTCAAACTTTGCCTTATCACTAAAAAATCCTGCTTCCACTGTTCTTGTGTCCAACATTGGTGCTATTTGGCCCACTTCAATTGGTCTTTTGTGTTTTTGTAAGAAGTGGTTTGCCTTTATCTAAGAAATTTCACCTGTCACAATTTTTAAGTAAAGATTAATAATATTTTTTTATCTGATAGAAATTGTAGCCAAGTTTATGCAGATGGATATGACAAATTTCTTTTGTAACTTTCTTTCCAGTAACTTTATTCCATTCATTCACAATTCATCGAATGATGCTCTCGATTTTTTAAAATTATTTTATGAAGGTGTGATCAGTCTTTGTTATGATTGCTGGTGTTTCCAGTTGATTTTCTCTAGATGATTTTACCAGTTTCCTGGCATTTTGAAACAATACCCCATACTATGGAATTATACCAAATTTTAATTTCTTTGCAATTTTTCTTAATTAAGGATTTGCCCTGTCTATGAAGGATGATAATTACTTCACATACATCAACACTTACAGCCCTACCAGATGCCATTTTTATTAAACAAATACACTTCGATAATGTTAATAAGAAAAATATGCAAATATGACATGTCATCTCATTTACACAGTTAGGAACAGATATTATTTGTCAGAAATGGCTCTGAGCTATTTCTTTGTCATACATGATTTTTTTCAACTGCTTGTAACATACTAACTGTTATGTAAAATCCTCAGTTAAAATGAAAGTTTACTAATATAAAATAATTAAGTGTACAGAATTTTTCTGTTTGATGTTATTGAAGGATAAGCTAAAGATCAATTAAAATAACATACTGTCCAACGGTTTTTTTTTTGTTGGGGTTGTATAAGACAGTTATTTATGATTATTTAAAATTATTTTTTGACTGATATCTTATAAGTAATGATAACTCTGACAGATTATTAATTTTTATATATAAACTATTTTGAATTATCAGCAATCCATTAACATATCAATTTTAATTCATTCTGTAAAAGTATTAATACTGATTTTAAATAGTCAAATCTGGTTGATTCTTCTAGATGTCTTTGGATAAAAATGATAAAAACTAAGCAACTATCTTATTGTAGTTAAAGTTCAATCTATATCTTCATTTTTTCAAAAATTGTTAAACATTTAGAGTGAAATAAAATTATTTCTCATAAAAATAATTTTTATCATTTACGCAATGGACATTTTGTCCACGGTGCAAGAGAATGTGATCTGTTCAAATTTTTCTTATGGCAAATATAATTTTCTAATACAAATTTATATAAATTTCTAATACAGTGGTGCCTTGTACTTTGAATTCTTCAGAGTTTGAAAGCTAAATTTGACAAAAATTTGTTTTGGAGTTCAAATTGCATGTGCAGTGAAAATGCACTGGAAGCTTAAATGCAATTTGTTATGCACCCAAGTTGGTTTAAAAAGTTCCATTCTAGAAATTTTGAACTAAAGGATACAAAACATATGGGGTGCCCAAAAGGTATCCACAAAGAAATATTGCAGGAAGAAGCTGCTAAAAATCAATGAATAACATACAATATATGTAACAAAACATACTAGAATAAAGTGAAAAAAAGCACTGAAAACATACAAGTGTAAATCACTTGGAATGTTTGAAGTTTAAGAGCATCTTCTCCATACACGTTTTGAAATTTTTTACTATTTGTTTGGCATTAAAACTTTTCCGAAACTCATAAAGCATAATATGACCAATATACTTTTTATCTGAAGACATTTCAACTCTATTTTATTTGAACAAAATATCAAATAAGAAGTTTATTTTAAACTTCTAAACAAAGAATACAATTTCACATTAGTAATAATGTGTTCACAACTATTATAATTAATTAAATCACACATCTATATAAAGTAACCACAGCTGTTAAAAATATCAAAAACTTTTTGTTCAATTCAATATAACTTTTACTTATTAACCAACTAAGAAGCATCTGGAAGCAACAAAGTGTAAGAGGAATGTTGTAATATCAGTGATTGAGATGAAAAAGAAACTTGTGAAGTTTGAAAGCAATATACATGTGGTGGATCTGATGGCCATGTTTAAGATGCTGAAGTTGATGGTGTGAGACCAGTAAATACAATTTTCATATTATTACATAATATTTATATATTTTATTTATTGTTTTCATGTTTTAATTTATTATCAGGACATTTAATTATGTTATTTTTACTTAATTTATATGTACTGTATTTGTTGTTTAAGTTTGTTGAAATGAGTAATTTTTAGAGTCAGGGAATGGATTAATTGACTTTCCATTAATTCTAATAGAAAAAAAACTGATTTGGACTTTGAATGATTCAGAGTTCAAATAGCCTCCTGGAATGAATTAAATTTGAAGTATGAGGTACCACTGTATTATTTGATATTGTAAACTTTTTTAATTTAAATTTTTGTTTCTACTTGGAAAACCATACTGCTTTAGTCAGTTTTTTTTTTAACGTATAGTACATGTTCATGTTATAATTCATAAATTGTTTATTATTTGAATTGTAATGAAATTTCTTATATATTTAAAAAATTATGTGCAATTTAATCTGTTATTTTCATAAAGGCAAATATAAATATATATATTTTTTTTTAATTGAATTGTGTATATTTTAATATGTCAGCTTCATTAATGTTGTGAATATTTATTGTATTATTTTATAATTAATTCTGTTTGTTTCCCATTTTGACTTACTTATTTTGTCTCTAGTCCATGGTAATTTGATATGAGATAGATATGACTATTGTTGTTTTTCATTATATTTTGTAAAAGGATTTATTAATATTTTTTTATTTTTTACTTTTTCCATTTTTAAAGTTTACACTCTAGTAAAATACTACAACAACACTGTAACATCCTTTTTTTCTAGACCCAGAAATGTCCTAATGGTACAGATGCTACACAAACAAAAGTAGAGGGTCAGTTGATAGTTTGCCCCTGAACTTGGTATGGGAACCAATGCAAAACAACTATGTTTGTTGCAGAAGAACATGTGAATTATTAAATGCTGAGAACTCAGAATTGATGGGACTGATCATCGACACAAAAAAAATTAAGTTTATTCACTCCTCAACTACTTACTCTTGGTAGTACTGAAAATAAACAAAGTATACAAAAGCAGCTTTTAAGGCACGAACAGTGATGTCCCAATTATCTCCACCCCTCGTGTAGTCAAACTAATTGTTAGATTTGACAAAAAAGTTCTATGCTCCAATTCGCTTTTATTTGTCATCGCCAGGTAGGTCAGTCGTCCAGTACATCTGTAACTCATGGGGCACCATCATTCCTTGCTAGCTGCAGCTTCACTTCCTCAAGGCCCACTTCCTTGTGGCTTTTATCCTTTCAGGGGTGATGTCACACTGTACCGCACCTCCCACTCATTTACATTTATGTGCGTTTTCATTTACATTTTTGGTTATTTTCTCATGGAATCTTTTTCTTACAGAGTGCTAATGAAATATATAATTTAGGGTCCTTACAACACTATATCAGAAATAGTAATGAAATATTGTTTAAATTGTTGCAAAATAAAATTAAGCAATAAAAAGAACAGAGATACCTAAAATACACAAGTACAAAATGTATAGTAAATATAGAAATAAAATATTAATTAAACTTCAGATATTAAGTAGTTTCTTCCTAAATATCTTTGTGCATTTATGAATAAAAATTAACATATACAATTATTTTTTTTTCTTGAAAAAGAATATTTTTGAGTATTGAGTAATGAAATTCATTCATATATATATATGAGGATATTTATAATATTTCACTTTAAGAAGATATTTATAATTAACTTATATCATTCCACAGACATGAGTAATAAGAGATTTTAGATATTCAACTCTAAATAGTTCAAAGTTCTTTGGAGTTTTGATGAGCAAATTTCTCATATGAGCCGGATATGTCATATGAAGAGAAGAGTACACAGGTTTGCATTTATGATTAGTTATTAACATTTATTGCAGGATGTGTGATGCAGTTAATGGAAAGAGTGAGAGAATCATCTGCATTTTGTAATAAACTGAAAAGAATAATAAGTATAAATTTCTGACAAGATATTTTTAAATATAAATCATGCTATTTATATTCTGTTTAACAGTTTCTTTTTGTTACAAAAGTTTAAAATATTTGAAATTATTTTACATCCTTAATGATACCAAATTCTATCTTTTATATTTGGCACATTATATTTTTAAATCATCCTAATTCCTTTATCAGAATTTTATTTTCTGGAAAAATGAGAATGCCACTGTTCATTTAAGACAATATATCATTACAAGTAAAGGGACTATTAAGTTCAGTTGATTTTTGATTGAGTCATTGTGCTACTATTTTTATAATACAAGACTACTGAATCCCACAATAGTTCAATATTGAAGAAAATGGCATGAAATTCAATTCTATGAATCTTGATGAATTCAAAATTTGTAGAATCATTATCTAAATATCTTTCATCTCCAAATAAATATTTAATGAATAATAAATTTTTGGTAATTAAATCAATTTATGAAGTAAATTCACAATTACAGATGGATGTTTCTTGGAAGTAAATTAATTAAATAGATTTAAGAGAAAAATGACAAAATCAACAGAAAGAATATTAATTTTGTTTTGGTAAACTTTTACCAAATTTTTGTAATATAATTTTTATAATTTATTACATATGCATATAATAATAGTAAATATATGTGATATAGGAACATGAATGCAAGGCTTTTCAAGAACTAGTTGCAAGAAAATCGCGACCATCTTGTGTACTTCACGAAATTGAAATAAGAAAGTTACAAGAGGCAAATGGAAATAATCAGTCAGGTGCTTCAGTATTGGGTGAGGTAAAGTGATTTTTTAATACTATATTTTAGTACTTATTTTCATCATACTAATGGAGAATTTAATAATAATTTAATACTAATTTTTTTTATCAATTAAAAAAATTAGAAATGGATATTTTTAAAATATACTTAGAAATATACTTACATTTTCAATATTGCAATGAATAAAATATATCAAAAATAATTCATAATTTTTAAATTTACTTAGTTCAGTTGATAGTCACTTGACATCAGCTTGAGTTGGTTTCTTTATAAGTCAGTAGTCTAAACATCATATTGCATTTTTACATCTTTTAACAATGAATAATATAATAAATATTGTGAAATAAATGTTCTTGCAAATTTGAGACAAATAGAAAATTTATTTATTTTGGAATATTTTAGTTATACAGTAGAGTCCCGAAAACTCGGCTTAATGTGGACCAAAGGGTGGCCGAGTTTGTGAAAATGCTGGGTTATCGAGAATGGGGTTAAAAAAGAATAAGTATGAATGTTTCCTCAGAAAATACTATACTGTACTTGTATGTATTGTTTGCTTGAGAATACAACAGAATAAACTGCCCAAATACCCTTAAACAAAGGAAAAGTACGTACTTTATGCAGGCTTTTACTACATGAAAATGAAAATTAATGAATACACAGTGTATAGTAATTTACCTGATAAGACAGACTTCAGAAAAATACTTTATGAGGCATAAAGCTGTCTACAATAAAAATTAACTAGGGGTTTTTTTGCCCTGCCAGGGTGTGGCAGAGTTATTGATTGCCGAGTTTTCGGGACTCTACTGTATAAAATATTATTATTATTATATTTTTTTGGTTTTACTGACAAATTAATAAATTATTTTAAAATTAATTGGTAGATTCATATTGAAATGGCAAAATATCATGAACTAGGACGATTTACTCCTGATGGGAAAGATGATTATGATCACGAATCTGCTTTATTTCATTTGGAACATGCTGCAAACTGTGGTAATTTAGAAGCAATATTAACAATGGCTAGAATTTATTTGCAGTTACAACATGATATTCTTCATGATGTTTCTGTAAAAGTAAGTATTTGTGTTTGTTATTAAAACAATCTAAAATGAATTTTTGTGTATGTAAGAAAAGTGACAAAATATAGTTTAGGAATCAACATCCTTTTGTGATTATCATGCAAAAGTAAATGATGTATTGGCTGAGGTTAGTAGTTTTTTTCTAAAACAGCTATGTCTGATTTTTCTAAGATTCAAGAAAACATGTTCAGATGTAAAATAATCTGAACTAACCTAACTATTTTCAAAACTACAAAAATAAATAGATGAATTTTATTTTGTGATTACTATTGTTGTTAAAATGAATAAACTTTTCTTCAAGTACATAACTTTTAAGAAAAGCATATCCATTACACATTTTTATCATTTAATCATAAATTTATTGTGAAAAAATTTATATTTCTGTTCTATCTGATATATTTTTTTGTCAATAGTTGTTACAGATAGTGAACAGGTGTAAAGGACTAGTGGACTAAAGGACTAGTTCTTCAAGCCAATGTTTGATATCAATGTTTGTCTCCCTTAAATGCATATAATTTACATTTAAGTCGGGAAGTCAAATTCATATAGTTGAGATCGGTTAGCGATAATTTAACTTATAGATTAAAGAAAAAAAAGAGAGAGAGAGAGTAATCTAGTCTCAAAAGAGAACATTTTTGTAAAACCATCAATCTCTGGCCATACGGAAATTATATTCAAATATGAAGAAAGGTGGTGTACTAACTCTCCTAACTTGTAAACTTTGTGCTTAGTGAATCTTCCATCTGCAAGTCCCATATTCAAGGAGAACAGAAAGTCAGCGCACACACACACACACACACACACACACACACACACACACACACACACACACACGAAGAAAATCTGACTTGCATCTATCTGCTGCGAGAACAACATAAGACTATCCAGAATACCTACGAAGGACTTTGAACACTCTCAACTTCTAGAGTGATCAACTATACAGCTATCCCGACCGAACTGTGACAAAATGTATATTAACTCCTCCATTTCTTTCATTTAGTCAGTGTGCTTTGAACAACAATTGTTGCACAAATATATGGATTTGTGTGTGAGAAATTGAATGGCATATTTAGGCATAATTTGTTGGAAATTGAAATTGGTTATAGAAGTAAACAGAAAAATTTGTAACCCATATTAGTTTAGGTATTTAGCTTATGAAGCAATGTTATGCTTAAGTACAATTCAGAATTTGGAAGTTTTTGGGCAAGAGAGAGAGAGAGAGTATAATAGAAAATGTATTCAAATTTCTTTTCTATTTAAAATCACACTATCCTTTAAGGAAGTATGATTTTAAAGAAAGTAGGAAGTAATGTGAGGATCATAGACCTGATTTTACTTAAATGTAAGAAAATTCTTAAGCCTATTTCTCTGTTGCAATTGTTAAGAAAATATCACACAGAAAACGGATTGAATGATAATCTTTTCTATCAATAACTGAGAGAGAATTATAACATCTGAGTGTTAAGTTAAACACTCAGATGTTATAATTAGTTAAAGGAGGAGAAAATTGATTATTGACTAGTAAATAGAAGGAAGCGTACAACTTTCGGACCAAGTGTGGTCATGATAGCTGCATGTAAGTGATGTTATAGCATCATCGATAGAGACTTATAACCTCACACCTGCAAAAATCAACCTTCATCTCCAACAACACCTGATCACCTGATCATTTTCCCAGGAAAAATCAAATATAAGGACAAAGCACCCACACTTCGAGGGGCGTTTGTCTTTAGGAAGCAGCTTGTCCCGGAGAAGAAGATCCACTCGCCATAGACAGCAGATACCAGTGGCCTCTCCAAGGCACCATATAGAATAGACTTCTTCCAAGGCTCCCTCCCTGCTATCATCATCAAAGATGACGGTTTGAATTGCCTTATAAGAAAGGAAGACATCGATCATGGTTTAACCTCAACCCAGACAGAGAACAGCATCTCTCTCAGAGGTATTTTAATAGCCATATGTAAACTCTCTCCCTCAACATGGAAAGAATATGAATGGAGATAATTAGTCGTGTAGCTTTAGATATATTCTGTACTCTTATGTACTCTTAGATTTAGACATTTATATTAAACTTATATTTTTATTTGTTAACCTGGCTACCTGTCTCTATCCAACCTTGGACACCCTATTCACTTGCCCACTTCACTCCCCACTCAATCTTGTAGCCCTCCTAGCCATCCAAAGACCATGTGAGTGGATCTTGTCGATCTGTTGCCAATTAAGTGGTATTTAGTATACTGTGTGAGAATACTGGGGGCTAGTAGGGCAAGTGGTACCACTTGCCCTACTAGCTCCCAGTATTCTCAAACTAGCATTGAAATGAACAGAAGATAGGATTTAAACAATACAGTATATAAAATCTAAATTTGATAATTGTTTTTGAACTAGATTTTCTTCATTTTATTTATTTATTAAAAGTTTTTCAAATTGTTAGAAACTTTTTCATAATAAACATAAATTTGAAACTTTTTAATTATTTTTATTCAGTACTTAGTTACCATATTTATTAAGCTAATATAAATTAATCAATTAATTTAACTAAATTATTTGACCTAAAAATAGGTTATTAAGCAACCATATGATAATCAAAAATGATGTTATAATTTATTAAAATAATTTAGAAATTTCTGGAAAAAGGATCAACCTAGAGTGGGACTTGAACAAAATGCATATTATTGCCAGTTATACATTTGAACTGTATGTAGATGTGGATTTATGCCCTGCTCAAAATCATTTCTTTTCTTTCAGAAATTTCTTAATTATTAATTAAATTAATGTAATTTATAATTATTAATATTAATGAAGGATGGTTGCCTAATAAACCAAAATTACTTAGTTAAATTGACTTAATATTATAATTGGGCTTGTTATAAAATTAATAATGTTAACTAAAATATGGTTAAAAGTAGGATGGTCAAATGCTCTGGTTTTTATTTTTGGTCATTGTTTTTCTTCTTTCTGAAAACATTTATAGACAACACATTGTGCTGGATTTTTCCCAGATGTTATACTTGCCACTATCTAATGGCAAAGTACAATTTTTCATTCTTTCCTTTGTTTTTTTTTTATTTTAATCCTTTGTCATATAAATTTTTGTTTTACAGATAATCCTTAATAAAGTTTTCTGTTAAATGTGTAATAAGAAGCAGTGGCATTGTAACAAAAAAAAAACCAAAATGACATAAGTAAAGGATTATGTGAGGTTATGAGGAATATTTTTTATTTCAATGCTATTTCACTGAGAAAAGACTCTTAAAGAACTTGATAAGGATATCAACCAGAATGATTTTTTACCTGTCATTGTAGGAACAGTTTTTAACCTTTTTTTTCTGCATCTTAAATGTATTTCTATTAGGCAGCAGAGTAAAAATACACATCTGCTGCTTATCCTGGAATTGTCCCTGTTTTCACTAGGACAATTTTTGTTTTTTTTTTTTTTTTCTGGAAGAATTCATTTAGTCTCAGAACACCAAGTGCCTGGAACCCTATTAAAAGTAAACATTGAAACATTAGACATTCCTACTGAGGCTTGGTTAAGCCTTGTTACTAATTTTTCACCACTTTTATTTCAAAACTTCACTTCCAACCTTTGTTCATCGGGCCTTATCCTGACTGGTTAGTCCATTATGTCCCCAAACCAAAAGGGGTAACACTGGATTGGTCAATAGGGGTTGGTGAGAGAAGAGAGATAGGGGAATGCACCAGGAGATGATCATCTTTTTGGAAGGAGGAGCTAGAGAGGAGAGGACATGAATACTATGCTGAACAGAAAGAGAATCCTATTGAAGATCAGATCTGAAGTTTATCTTTGACAGTTATTCCCCTTTTGGTTTTTTCCTGTTTTTTTTTTTTTCTTATCTAATTTTGATCTTCTAATTCCTTATAACTTGATCCAGAGCCCAGATATTGTATTTTTTAATTAAGTTAGAAATAAGTTAGAATAAAGTTCCTACGGTGAACGCCACTCTTCACATCTCAACTGTCGTGAAAACCAGGCAACGAACCCCAGGTGGTATGAGTCATCACTTCCTGGAACAAATTCAAACTCACCCAGTAAGACCGTTGGCTGTTAGTTATTCTTTTGTTAGCTTAGCTGTGTTGTCGAGACATGTACCATATATGTGAGGAAGACAATAAACTCAGTTTTGATATGATCTTGTCTCATTCGTTTTTATCATGCACAATGACAAAAAGTAAAGCAATAGTAGTAAAAACACTACATTCCTTTGTCTTGTCAGCACATGGGACCCGTCCAGTATCGTTGTAGGTGTTGGTCCCATATATTTGTGTATTTGTAGGTTGTAAGATTTGTATGGTATTTCTTCAGAAAGTATTGTCATTAATTGTAAAAAGTAAAGATTTTAATTATTATCAAAACCGAGTAACTCCTAGGATTAAATTCTTTTGTTCTTGGCCACACTACCTTCAGACCTATTAAAGTTACAAGAGGGAGATGTATTTTTTTCTGCCTCCATTCTAGTTTTAATTTTATTTTACTATTGTTTTATTTGCTATCTATAATTTATTAACTGATTAGTGTACAATACAGAATATAATGTTACAATAAACTACTGTACTCATTTATACAGTAGAATCTGCTTATTCCAATCACTTACAAATAATAATAACTGAATAACTTTAATATTAAGCAGGAAAATAAGTAAGACTATAATTATGTAAACTCTGGTATTATTAACTCTTTTCTTATAAACCACATTGAAATTATCATAAAATGTGTAACTTGAAGATTTATTATTATTATTATTATTAAGAATAATTCATCTAGTGTTTAATTGAAGTAAGAAATGACAGCAATTTAAACTTCTGTATTGTGAGCAATGCTTAAAATGATTAATGTTTAATATTTAAAGTGCTGATTATTACTGATAATAATTGTATGTTATCAGCTGCATATTGAGGCTTATAGTGCAGAAGTGTGGCTTAAAAATGCCTATTATCTGAAGATACTGATAATTGTAATTAAATTCTGACTACAAAAAGTAGTTTTACAAGCATATTTTAACTTTCGTTTTTGAACTTGCTTATTCAGATAAGATTAAACAACTAAGACAATATTCATGATTACAGTAGGTGGATTCTGCTGTGTTATTTTTTATTTACTTTAAAACAGAAAATTTATTTTATTCTAGGATACAGAGGAAAATAAAGAAATAGGAATGAATTACATGTTACAAGCTGCACGAGCTGGAAATAGATCTGCTATGATTCATGTTGCAAAAGCATATGATACTGGAAAGGATCTTGGAAATAGATTGTATGTAACTAAATTAAAAGTCATTACAATTACTATTTGTTTATTTTTTTATTGTTTTTTGGAATGTCCACAAATCATGTAATCAAATTTTGCAAACTTTGATTGCCTCCTATCCCGATGTTTATGGTCAGACAAATGTCCCCTACCCCTAAAACCACATAGTTTAAGGAAGCCAAACTTCCAAATACTTTTATTTATTTTAATTTTTAAATTTAAACACCAGGTGGGAGCATTGTAAAAGCCTTTTTTGCAATTCCTCCCAAACAAACATAAAACAAAGATACATAGATCAGTTATAAATAATAATTGTAAAAATTTGAAATTCAGTGGCTTATAATTTTTGTCCAAATGGTTTTTCTCGTTTAAATGTTACCATCAGTTCTTTTAACTTTTAATAATTATACTGTTAAAATTATTCACTCCTCTCTACATCTACCATTGAATATATATTTTTTATGTTATTTTGTAACAATACATATCCTTTTGTATTAATTTTTTATACTAACAAATTAAATAATTATAATTTTGCAATTATATAGACTGGTGCTGCTGTTGCAATATTAGTTCTTGTTTGATATTGCTGATTTATTGCCCCTTCTGCTTAACATTATTCTGAGTAATAGTTTCCACGATACTGTGATCCACCCTATGCATGATGCTTCATCTATAACATATTTTCAATAATGAATAGATTATATTGTAGCTCAAAATAATTTTTTAAGAAGAAGCTGGGTTACATGATCAGATCCAGATCCCTTTCCTTCATTGTAGTGCTTCCTGGTAGCCACTGACATATAAATATATATATACACACACACACCATAAACCCCCTTTAACTAAACTACATTTGTGGACATTCTCTTTATGAAATATGTAAATTTCTTTTAGTCTCTAATTACCTATAAATTTGAAAACATTGGATAAATAGTCTTTAGCTCTGTTACAGTGGTTCGGTATTTTAAAATTGTCTTGAACAAATGCATCTGTAAAAAGGAACTTTAAAAGGAAAAAGCTAGACATATTTACAAATTTTTATATGGTTTCTCCTAATGTGAAAATAATTAGTTATGAAAATGCTTATAATTTTTCATAAATTAATAAATTTGAAACCTATATTATGTACCTTTTTTGGAGTAAATAGTCATTTTTTTACTAAAATATTTATTTATCATAAAATTACTATTTTGGATCTATTGCAATTCATCAGCATTTTCAGAAATAATCCAATCATCTTTATACTTTACAGTTCAGATATTTAAATTTAAGTAAATCATATTTCTTATGTTTCTTAAATTTAGCAGTATTGAAAGTTTATATGATAGGCTGATAAGTATTCACACAGTGAAATATTCAGAAAAAGAAGCTATTTATTTGAACAATTGAAAATGGAACGAAAGTACCTTTAGTTATAAATTGAGAAAAATGTATTGAATAAGTTTATGCATACTGTAAAAGAAGAATTTGAGTTTTTTGTCTGATCCATAATGTCACAGCTTATCTCACTCCATTATCTAGTTGAAATGAAACCCTTTGAGATTCCTTTTAAAGACGGTAGAAAATGAAATTCACACAGTGCCAAATTTGGATTGTAAGACAGATGCAACAAAACCTTGAACTTCAGCTTCTCAAGAGCACAAGTGTTGCATGAGCAGTCTTGCATTGTCATGCAGCAACAAAATCTCAAACTTGACACTCTGCCTTAGATTCTTTCTTGTTTTAATATGTCTTGCATGTTTCCAGATTTCAAAAATTTTGTCAAATAAACTGTTTTATGAGTCCTAAAAACAGTCAAAACAATCTTTGGCAAATGGCATTGTTTTGAATTTTTCTGAACAGGGAAAGAAAGTGTGCCTGTACTTCATGCTTTGTTGTTTTTCTTCAAGATCAAAATGATTGATCCAAGACTCATTTCCAGTAACAGTGTTCAAAAAAAAAAAAATTGATTTTCTTCTTTATGATAGTATTTCAGCAGTTTTTCAGAATACTCCACATGTATTTATTTGTTTCCTGGCATCAAAAATTTATAATGAAACCCATTGAAAACAAATTTTTATGCAGCCAAGTAGAGCAATGATATATCTACTCTTTCTTTAGAGATTCTTAGCCTGACTGCTATCTGCTTTTGGATGATATAACAATCATTTTTTATCAGTTCATCAACTTGTTTTTTGATGATTGTCATCTGTCACTGAAACTGGTCTTCTGCTGTGAGGTTGGTCAATAGTATTTCTACCGTACACAGCCTTTGAATGGTGAATGTCAATCAGCATTATATTTTTAGCACTTAAAAATTCAGTTATTACATGTTTCTTTAATGGGTCATGGGGCAGCTATCAGTTTTTAAAAATGGAGTGATTAAGTTTGAATGGGGAGAGTGAATTTTTCACTCTTTTGACAAAAAAAATATATATATATATATAATGCCCCAGAACATAAAATAATATTTTGGTGCAACTCCTCACAATGTGATTATGCATCATCTCACAGTTTAGATATCTATTTTTATATAGAAAACTTGGAAGAAAAGATAAAAATTTAAATTTTTTTATAATATTATTTTTCATGCTTCTAATAGGAAACATATTTTTTTTGAAAGGATATGTTTTCTTATCAAAACTATGAATTTATATATGAAGTGTACAATGCCTTACGGCTTGCCTATAAAATTCAACTTCAAAATACAACCACTTACAGCACCACTGTCACCACAATAGTTTTTTGTAGTAGAAAACATTGCATTTAGAATTCATTTCTTCAATGAAACATATTTAGAACCATTTAATGCCATAACATTGTAAAATGGCATTTACAATGTTATGGCATTGCATGCTTCATTTGATTTCATGCTGTCAGTATGAAAGCAGAATATTTAAATTAAGTTATAGTTGTTGGAAAAAGTTATAGTTTTATAGAAAAAAAAAAAGGAAATGTCTACTAAAAATGTAGTTAACCTAATCAAACCAACCTAACTGAAGCACCGCCATTGGGGTTACCTATATACTGTACACTTTAACCACCGGATGTACTGTGGTGGCATTTCGAATTACACAAAATCATTTTTTTTTACACTGGCACCTATTTGTAGTACATAAATCAGTTTGGCCTAGGTCAAACTAGTTAAGCCTAAAGTATTTAGGCCAAACTAGATTGTCCGAGGCTAAAGTAGTATATCCTGACATGCGTAGGATAAACTAGTTTGGCCTGAAATTGGGTTTGGCTGGTAACATATATAAATAATTAATTAATCATAATTGAAAATAACAAATGTATAAAAACTGTCTAAGGTTGAAAATGTTTTTTACTCTATTAAAACATACTGCTGTAGTTACAAGGTGTGCTTTTATTTTAGCTTACATATGAATTATTAATGAAAATAATTAAATTTCTTGACAGTTTTAATGGATTGTGTTAATATAGTTTTTAATAATTTTAATGTTTACTATAGCATGATATTTATTTTTTTTAAGTAATGGAATAAATAAATTATTTTTTAGAAAGCAATCATGGTCAGAAGCTGTTTATTGGTACAACAAAGCTATTTCTACTGAAACTGCAGATGAAAGTGGAGAATTTGATGGCTGCATGGAGGATCCTACATATTTATTACTCGCTCGTCAAGGTGAAATGTATAGAGAAGGAAATTACGGATTA